GACTTTGTCTCGATTGGGCAACATTTCGTGTCACATCATTAATGCTAGAGGAGAGGATACGAACTTTGCAAGGTCAAGCTGGGTCACAGCAGTCACGGTTGGAAATTACCGCACGCTTTTGAAAGATTACTCAGCAAAAAATTACAGACGTTTGTTATACACACAAATCTATAAGTTTCATACAAAAAGAATAATTCGGCGTATGCATTAGGAGGCCAATGATGTTGAAGTAGTCGACATAAGACTTGACATAAATGCTATTTTCACTCTCCAGGTATTATAAGCACTAAACTTGCTACGTCACTAATTAATATTGAGAAAACCCAAGTTCACTATCCTTACAGATACGTTTTAAAATGTATAATTCGCAATATAAAGACTCTTCTACCTTAAGTCCAGCCTTATCTTCACGTGTTGCTGTCAGTTAAAAGTTCTAGCGCCAGAGCCACGAAGGAAATCTAATGTAGAGGAAATGCAGTCATTGAAATATTATAATTATACATTTGGAAAAAATCATAAAAAGAAGAAGACAATCTTTTGGGATGTTGCGCCTTGTAGCCAATAGAAGTTTACGTTTCAGAGGCGTTTGCTTACTTTCAAATCCATCTATCTGTTCACATTTACAATCATATTCTCATTTCATTCGACGTAATACAACGGTTGTAGTTGAAACACTGTCGTAAAATAATTTCAGAATCATTAATTTCAAAGTGGATCTCACCTTCTGGCTCTCTGTTATTGAAACATGCATTATAAGCACTGTAGCGCCTGCTCAAATTTGTTTAGACTATACGCAATTCAAATCTGTCGGAGATGTTGCCGCACCTTTACGGCGAACCATACATCCAAAAGAGATAAAAGAGATAAAAGATATATATATATATATAAAACATGTTCCTTTGCGCTGGCGTTAAATTTTAATGTTATAATTAAAACGTATTAAATAAAGAATTTCTTATAGGAAAGTCGCCATGGCGGTAAATGTGTATTCTTTAGCATCAATATACATTTATGGAAATCAATTAAGTAAGCGTGCTGCACTGAGTAATAATATCATGTGTAAAATTGAGCATACGGCAACTCTGTAGAAATGACAGCCATTTGCTAACTTTATAAGGTATAATAAATTAAGCGACTTTCCGTTGAATTTTAAACCGGAATCATTCTAGTAGCATAACAAACATATACAAAGAAAATATTCATAGAACTTGAGTAATGGCTCAAATTAACATAGGTAATATAATTCAAAAACCATTTCTAAGACAAAGTTATTAAATATCAGTATCTCTGATTTTATAAATAATGTCTGTTATTATCACTGGACTTCTCACACATGCTGTACTGAATTCGTACCCTGGAAAATTACAACCTCGTATCTTGCAATGTTAATTTGAAGAAAATAATTCCTTATCTAGAAAAGTAAGAAATTCCACGATTTTATTTTAAATTCAAGCATAGTTAATATACATAGAAAGGTCTCGTTTCATAATTTACCATACTAATTATTCTTGATCGATATGGCTAAGGGAAGTCGTTGGAACATGCTAAAAAAAATCTGAATACAGTACACACCCAGCTCTTAGAATAAGAATCTTGTTGGTTTGTGCTTTTAAACAACTGTGTTGGATGTAACAAGCAAGCTAAACGTACAGTTCAAGTCTTTGTTATAGTAAATGTTGAGTTTTATAAACACTCAGGAGAAAGAAGCAGGGATTCTGAGTAACAAATGTAAAATTCAATTTCTAATGTCTGATCTACTCTAACAAGCGCAACAAATATGAAATACTTGGGATTTTCGTAAATCTATCCACAGAAACTCTCCATAAATCGGAAAAGAATATTATAATTTGAAAAATAAAGAAGGAAAGTTTTAAAAAATATTTCATTCGTGTAAAGATGTCCCTCGGGGGGTTTCAATTCTCCTCACGAAAGCGTAGTCATAAAATGTCTGATTTTATTTGAGAAGTAAAGCCGATATGGACAAGCTTTTGGAGGGTATTTTATTGACTCAGACGTCGGGTTCTAGAATTTATTAATTAAGTTCGTTTTGGGAGAAAATTAAAATAAGAGTACGACACTACAGAAACATGAATATGATTTTCGAAAACTTAATTATCAAAGTGTCTAAAAATTTATATGAACAGTTCCTTCGTATTCTGTAAAATACTACTGAGGCGATGATGAGAAATTCTTAGGTTGTTTTAATAACTTTGAATCATTGGAAGTGTCCATAAGTAAAAGTCACGTGTTAATTTTAATGCTGCTTTATACAATTTTTAATTCATAAACCCATACTTATAGAAACACGTAAAAAATTCGCTTTACACGTTATTCATAAAGATATATCACAAATTAAATCTTTATTTTCAGTTCAAGATTATACTTTGCTTTCACAACTAATGGTGACGATGATAACGAGAAGATTACAAAATTGTATATGTCGATTCCTGCAATGGGTACACAGTTTATTCTGTGTTTTAAATGAGTTATTTCAGGATACACAAAACAAAGAAGTATTAAAGTCACGTGTGACACAAACTGAGAAATATTTTAGTATATAAGCGTGAGTCTTTGCATAAATATAAAAATCGTTGCATCTCTATGGTCGTCATATTGTGTATGTAGCTCGGGACAATAAGTGTTTTTTTCTAATTCTGGAAACCCAGGTTCAAGTGTAAGCAGTCTGCTAAATCGTGGCCTCAAAGAATCGGCTACAATAAACAGCGTTTACAAAACGTGGGCAAATATCATGACATCTCCATGATTCTATTTAAGTTCACCCTAAAATCTTCGCCACCCACACCCACACACGCGCGCACACACACACACAGATATGAATTTCAACACCACATAGAGAGAATTATAGGGAAAATGAGAGCGAGTTAAATCGAGGCCTTGGAGAGCAAAATCATTTACATAGGCGAAGGTTTTGGGGTTAAAGAGGTCATGCATTCGTGTTGGATCTGAGCTACATCCAGCGGCGGACTGGCCGTGCTATCACTCGGATGGGATTTCTAACAGAAAATGCAATTTTTATTTATCTTAATATTATTCGTTCCCAACGCAAAATTAACCCAGATGTGGAGAAAATTACGATTTTCAAATGTTTTAATTAGACGGGAAATGATCGTGGCCTTTCACAAAGTTATACGCTATCGAGATTCAGTCCGCTGACCTCTTCATTAAGAACAATAATTGTGCAATAGTTTCTTATATAATAACATAATATTACTTAAAAACAAGCTATTTAACATACAAAGTAAATGACAAACTAAAAAACTGTTGTATGTTTACGCCAATTACATCCATCAGATACCGCGACTTGTCTTCTGTAACACACAAATTATTTTCAACAAAGACTGTATGACGTAGACTGCAGATAAGGACGTTTATAAATTGCGGCTACCTGGTAATTAAGTAATGGCCAGGGCTCTAATTAAAGGAAACAAGTGGGAGTAATAGTCGCTATATCGAACTAGAATAGCCAATAGATGCTGTCTGAATTACAGGATGTGAAGGCTACGTATCAACATCATGCAAGTGTTTCTCGGTGCAACTTCATAAGCCGCATACATACGCAGCTGTAACAAAATCATACGACTTTTACTTATCTAAGAGCTATGTATTAATACTTCGAAATACTGAGTTTAGATTAATAGTATAAGTGATTAAACGATGGACACAAATTGAAAGAAATTCAAGTACACAGTTCATGTAGGAACACTTACGTTCTGAACAAGTTAGAAAATAAACCAACTCCAGTTTTCTAAGAATTTCAGTTCTGATTGAAGTTAAAAACCTTCGCTTTTGTTTACGGCGCATAAGTTCACGGGGAACTCTAAATTAATTGAATTATATTGATAAACTTGTTGAGACTGGCTACAATGTAGATTATGGGTGTTCGATTCCCGACCTAGATTAACTTAACAGAGTGGAGTCCTTTTAGAAAAGCCAACAGTCACTCAGACAGACAAGAAATTCACCGATTGCTAGAGGATTCAATGGTCCATACCGTGTTCAAGACAGCCTGCCACTGGTCCCTGTTCTGATACAATTAAATCCAATCGATACATTCACATTTTATTTGTTTAAGATTAATTTCGATAACATTCTCCATTCGACGCCTACATTTTTAAAGTATTCTTCTTTCCTTTTAGTTTCTCCGACTAAAATTCTGTATATGTTTCTAGTTTCTCCGATGTTACTACATGTCCCGCCCGCTTCATCCTTCCAGATTCGACCACCCAAATTATGGCTGGTGAAGTTTACAACTTGGGAAACTCCTCTTTGGAAAGCTGTAAGCAAGTCCAGCAGTGGACAGCAAAACCAATTTAAATTCCAAACTCTGGAACGGACCTCACAACACTCTGCCTTTGTGTAGGCGAAAGAATATAACAAAGCAACTTATCATCTGGTATGTGAAAACAAAAATTTGTAAGATATCTTTTCAAGAACGAACGATTTAATCCAGTAAACGTTTCTAACTGAAAATGGCAATTTGCCATGAAAGAATGACCCAAGATATTAAGTCTTGTAATTTCGTGTCCCTTCTTAAAATTCATCGTTAAGAACAGACGCGCATTAATTTTGGAGACAGACCTAGAGGTCAATAGGGGACGCAAGTGACTGGACTCGACGTAGGGCCAGTCCGCCAGGCGAAGTGCCCCGTTACAGGTGCCCATGGAAATCATGTCGTCACACTCCCATGGGGAGCAATAAGACTGTGTCTTGCACGAGTGCCTTATAGGCCGGAAGTCATCGAAAGGGTGTGGTCATAAAAGTAGGAACATAAGTTGCAACAAGAGTGGTATCCATCCCTTCCAACTCTTCAATTGCTGAATAGGCGTGGCCATCATTTCTTATTGGCTACTTAAATGGGGTCTCCTATAGTTTAATCTACCAATGACGCTCATGCGCGCGTTTGCCAAATCACTTTTAGTCGATAACTCCTGGAAACTTGAAGTGGCTGTTGGGAGAAACTAAAAGTTGTTAAGGTCTCACAACGGCCAACACAGCATCTCTCTCGCTCACACGGCGCAACAAGTCAGATCCGGGGATCGAACACAAGAATGTCAATGCAAAATTGGCAACACCGGAATCGTTTAACCACCTACACGTGAAGGGAAAAAAGGATAGAAGCACTGGGATCGTATCGTGTGTGTTTATTGAGTTATAAAAACAGGAAACATCAGCGCAGTTGGGCGGTTTCTAGAAGACTGCACACGTTAAGAACTCTAATAAACAAACACAACAGTATTTCCCTTTCTTTACGGTCTCCAAGGTAACAAATCAGAAAACAGACAGAACAGGAGTAATCATGGAAGAAAACTGCATTTGTGTCTCGCGCGCAGTTGAGGTAAGATGCTGACTACTCCCCAGGTAGTGATACACCCTGCTTCTAGAGCTTCTAGTCGTATTCAGCAGTACGAGGACGAAAGTGATTACGACGACGACGACGACGACGGTACTTTCCTTCGCCCGTCGTTTTTAACGTCAACCACGGCTTCTGAAACTGGGAACAACACCGCCATCGACATCAACGACGATGTTGGCGGCGGTGGCGACGACGGTGGAGCTGACGACATCGCGCCACGTAGCGAGCAAATTGCGAACCATCACGCTAATAACTCGGTGGGCGCATCCTCATCTGCCGCCGTTAACAATCACGTTGCGTCTCGACGCGGCTCCGTGTCTGTCCACCACAAACCTTCGGAAGACGAAGACGAAGACGAGGTTAAGGGGACATTACGACCTCCAGAAACTAGTGGGGGAGGGAGTGGGGGTTATTGGGGGGCGGCAAGTCGTCCTTCCAGCCCTGGAGTTATTATGGGTGATCCTGGGGGTGGTAGTGAAACTTCTTCAATAATGCCACCCCCATCAAGACCAAAGTCAAGATTGGATCAAGGTGGCGCTACCAGCAAATATAACAACTTATCATACTGGAAAGCAAGAAAAGTGCTGTTTTACAAGAATGGTGACCCTTTCTTCCCCGGTGTGGAGTTCAGGTTCAAACCTGGAAGGGACATTGTCAGTCTCGAATCCCTGCTGGACAAACTATCTCTGAGAATGGACTTACCGCGAGGGGCACGCTATGTGTTCTCCATGGACGGCGACAGAAAGCTGAGGTTAGAGGAACTGGAAGATGGCGCCTCCTACGTCGTGTCGTCATACAAAACATTCAAGGTGAGTGGCCTCATTCCTTGCATCAAAAGTGCCTGTATAATGACAGTGTATTGCTTTTATTTGGCTTCAGTAAACGCTGACCATCCTCTTGATAAAATCTGTTAGGCCTACAAGTAAGGCGTTACAATTCTCAACTCAATTTTGGACAGGTTGTACTATTCAACATTGGCTTCTATCGAATAAATAATGGCTTATTCGGGATTTCGTCTGCTTCAGGTTTTAAGGAGCATAAAGCAGCTCTTCTAGATTTCGGTTGTCGTCGAATCATGGTTCCCCGAACACAAAATCATTTTTCTTCAGTACGTCGCTTATTGAAGCAAGTGTAACTACAATTCCACAGACATGATAAATATATATATGTTTACTTCTATTTGTTATTATTATTATTATTATTATTATTATTATTATCAGCAGTAGTAGAAGTATTGGCTTTCTGGCTGTTGATGCAGCACACCAATAATAAATAACTGAATTGAATTATTACTCTATGTTTATCGTCTTTAAATTTCTCGCCTGCTCAAGACATGTCTCTCTTGTCAAGCACTTAAAGTATCTGGAACACTAATGATAATAATAATTATTGTTGTTGTTGTGGCTGACAGCAACTGTGACTGAATTTCTATTCTACCAAAATGATAACATCCAATACGATCGAACCTTAACACTTTAAAGCTCAGTGGTAAATATAAGTACCATCTTCTTTAACAATCAATAACTCTGCATTTTGTATTCGTCGGTTTCATCCAGTTCTAACTGTATCCAGCGATTATTTCTATAAACAGCATTAGCAAGTTGATCTCTGTAATGGAGAAGTGTTGTGCTTTCTTTGATGTAGGCCTATCAACTGGATTTTCTAATACTACTTAGATGAACTTCGGCTTTAAAGGGTTGTACGTCTTGCGCTTTCAATCGAAGCTTGTGGAGAAAATCATAGTGACAATTATGACAATAAACATTAATTATAAACTGGGTGGAATACTAATTCTTGGACTTGCCGCATATTTTAGTTTCTGAGCTGACTCACTCACTGTATAGCACAGGACTTTGGCATGGAAAGGCTAAACACTTGAAACTATTAAATCCCGTCTTACGGTCTCCGGGAAAGGGAAAGTGGACCTCAGTATTCAGGATGCGAGACTCGCTGGCTGTGATCTGCCATGCTAGGTCAAGGGGTCACACAGTGTAGGCTACAGTGGTGTCGGTGGTAAAGGCAGGGATGACACACCACGAACTTTTCGGAGCATCCACCTCTGAAAAGCACCGTATTTAGAAATGTGTCCGCGCAGTTTGATCTCTTCCACCGTTTATCATTCGTTCTAATAATTTCTACTCAGAAATGGCGGCAGTATGTTCATCTGCAACTTAGGTAAACTTTCCGCTACTACGCGGCGTCAGAACCCGGACGAAAATAAAAATACCACTTAATGGACGACCTTGAAGAGGTAGGCCGAAATACTCGTACAGCAGCCAGACACATTAATTCTGTCACGAAATACCTCATTTTGTTAACAGCAAGAAAACGGGACTCGGGACATAGCAGGGTTTCTGAAGCGCCGTGCTACATCGGCAACTTCTCCGGCGCTACTGTAGTGAGGGGTAGTCTAAACAAATCGGAATGCAGTACAACTATGAGGACGTATTTAGAATATGTTTAGTATTTACTACAAGTAAACGGTCATCTCGCTGCGGCGAGAACCTGAAATCTCACTACTGTGACCTGACTGGAATCCAAACCCACGACCCACAGCCAAAGACCAATCATGTCTTTAATGGCGGTCCGCCAGAGAATTCAGAAGTATTTACCTCTAGTACAATTTTAATCCCCCCACGTGTTCTGGAGTTGTATGGAATAAGTCAGATATGAATTGCATGCAATTCCTCAGCTCCTTATTCAGAACTGCGTTTTAGACTAGAGACAGAATTCTTTGCATGAGTTACTGCCCATAGCAAATCTTGGTACGAAACTTCTCACACACTCTGTGGCTTCGAGCGGTCAGTCGAATGCCGTGTTCCGAATCGTTGTTGTATATTAGCATAACTTCCTAGCAGCAGTAACCCTTCTCGAGACATGCAAGGACAAGCAGGCCGGCGGACCAAAACATTAGGGGAGTGAGAGGAAGTGAAATGAGGTCACAATGAGGTCACTTCTTCTTGTAGTAAGGGAGGGTGAGGATAATTCATACTGTACTTCAGCTACAGGGGTAGGCTGAAGCTATAAAACGAGGGGGAACATTTGCATCAATACTGTTATCGTATTCTTTGCCTACGTAGAAGAAAACTAAATAATCATCACGATAAAGCAATGCGAACAATTTATAGAACGTTTGTTAATTAATATTCGTAAGATATCAATTTAGGTATATCAAGGAGCACAGAGATACAGTGCGTTCACAAAAATATATATTACTATACAACACGGTTTTTCGATATTACGATCGAGTGATTCCAAAACTTTTATGAATATTGAACCCTTTTTGCATTACCCTCGAATTAAGGGGAAAAGCAGCGTAGTTATTAAAGTACCTCTTATTATGTCGATCCGAGGCTCGAATCACTATACACTATACTAACACAAGTTTTTCCGGGTTTCCTCAGTTCTTCCAGGGAAATTATAACAGAAAGTATTTAAAATGTCTTCCTTTTCAAAAACTATCAATACAGTAATTTTTATACATTTCGTGTGATATATTTGATAAAACGCCTGGCTTTGAGAGGAGTTGTTATTAATGTATATATATTTCTTGTGTTATCCATGCATGCACTCAGAGACGCGCGCTCCATAAGTAGATCATTATTTACATAAATTTGCACAGGCCTTCAGATACCAGTTCACTTTTTCTTGTGTAAATGGCAAACTTGACGTCACACTCCTGACACGGGCACATTTGTAAATGCATAAGATTGTACAGAATTTAAATAAGGCTAACAAATTAATATTCTCGAAGGGAAATACATTATCCAGGCCACAAAGTCTCCAAGCAAGATGGCTGCTTGGTGGAAGAGAGTGGGTCCTGCATTATAGCGCACCGCTTAGCATGCATAATTTCGTGTGCCATCGCCCCACTTACGTCATAAGCCCGACTGTTGCACATTATCAGTTTTGCGAAACTTCAAGTGCACCGCGTGTAACCCCAAAACACAAATGTAACAACTATATGTTATTCGGGCGGACGCACACCCACACACAGAGCAGTGTCTTGTGTAAAAGAAATTAATAATCAGCCAGCAGAGGGTAATTAATGAAATATGGCAGACTTTTGATCCCAAGTATTTAAAGCAGTGTGACCTGGATACGTGAAATATGCTAATATTTTTCGGTTGTGTAATAGTGATGTGAGAGTCACTGCGAGTGGCAGGAGATGTAGGTGGAAGATAGGAACCACCTGAGTAGTTGGGGAGGGGATCAGCGATCAATATTGGTACTCGGACCACCGATTAATTTCCCATATAGACCTCAACAGTTTGGTCACAAGCAGTCAAGAACAACAGTGACTCTCTTCTGCATCTGAACTAACTCCACGAAGCATAGTCCTTGAGAAACTAATAACTGGTCAGATAGTCAAGAAATCCCCCCCCCCCTTCAACGTGATTCCGAAGTTTCATTACTGTGTTCTCAAAAGATCGCGACTGGCCCCACCCCAGTAAATCCAGTCCACATTCTTTCCGCCACACTATTTTCTTTTGTATTTTAATTGTTATCCTTCCATTTACACCTAGGTCTCCCAAGTGGTCTCTTCTGTTCAAATCCTGAGGTACTGAAAGTGGAACGAAAGATTACATGATTCGAGTGTTAAATCATTTTCAACCGAAAGGAAATCTACACGCGAAATAATAAGACAGTTATCTACTCAGGAATTTATTACTGAGATATGTTATACTCCTGATTTGTATTATGGATAAATAATACTCAAATCTCGTCCAAGTATGTCGTGGGTTTTGTCAGTCATTCTAGTACCTCGAACTATAGTGATTTTTTAGGTTTTCACGACTGTGAGTATGACAATGTTGTTCAGGGCTTTGGAGCGTTTAGACTCGTCGGTAGATGCCAGCGTTTCGGAAAAAAAAATGCTTCAGGGCTGATGATGGAGACAGCATGTCTCTCCGAAACATTGGCACCTATCGACGAGTCTGCACTACGCCAGAACACGGAAAAACAGCTTCATTACTTTAAACTAAGTCATCACCTCTTCCTTTCCCACCCTTTCCAACTCGCCCTTATCTCATTCGACACTACGTAAACAGCAACAACTGATATGACGCCACTACGTGACCTACAAATAAACTAATTTCCACTAATCTCATTTCAAGTCTCGACAATAAGGAACAACCGTTTCTCGGCGGCGTTATCCCAAACAGCGACATGCTAACTAATTAGCTTCTCCGTACAGGAATGAACACCCATTTATAATAATCACAGCGCATGAGAGAACGCTTCCTACACACCATCACTCTGAGCAGCGCGTGCTCTGCTGTCTGCTCTTGTTGTGAATGAAAGCGTAATGCCATAAACTGCAATCCATTCAAACGCCTTAATTCACAGGCATACTATTTGATTTTGCCTTATAAAAACAATCTAAATTATATCTAAACCGCTCTGCCTGTATTCTCATTGTCTTTTTAAGACATGGATGACTCATTTCGTTATAAGAGTAAGAACTTCGCTGCAGTCAGTGTTTCCTTCTATTTCTAAAGTATATGCTGTTATGTTTCAATTTTACTAATAACCAGTTATTCATATGGAGGTGGCAACTTACCCCGTAAACATGAATATTTTATTCTTCTAACACATAATAGATTGGAGGTCATTTTCATTATTTCCTTAAACGTGCGCCCTTTTATCAGTCATGCTCAGTGGAGGACCGATGAGATTCAGAATTTAGCTAGCAGTAGCAGAGACTGAAGAATTGGAAGAAGAGGGAAACTTTTGTATTCGTAGAAGAAGTGGCTTCTGTTTTAAGTATTCAGCCCTCCAAGTCGCATGTTTAGCTGTGTCAAGCGAGATACGCACGTAAGGCCAACACAGGCAAGGGTGCTTTATTACGGATATAGTGTGTGACAAAGAGGGAGAGAACTTAAAAGATCACATCTTGACCCGATATCCATACGACCTTGCAGCCTTTGTTCATTTTGTAGAGTTCGTAAAGCGTGACCTTGCTTAAAGAATGCGCAGGCGCACCAAGGCGTGACCTTCCCTGAAACAGCTAAGTCCATCGCTTTCCCTTCCTCCCTGTCTCCAGCCTCCCACGAGAGTTCCCTAGCTGCTACTTGTCTGCCACTTCTTAGTTGCACTGCACCATTCACTTCCAGCTATCTCTTCGGCGATGCTCAAGTAGTGATGACAGTGAAAACCCCGAGATCAGTGGTGACTGGCTTGTCTCTTGCAACATCTTTGTGCTCATTGGTTTAAAACAAAGCTTCGAGTGACTGATTCCTACATGATTGATTAAACGGCTGGTGGTTGATGACGTAAACGGAAAACCCGCGAACTTTTAACATATATTTAAGTTGTATCATTTTTCAATGGTTTAAATTAAAACTTTCTGGTGCTGGTGTACACATGAGTCTACCGTTTATTATATTATCGCTGCCTTCCATGCTTCAACGTGAAAGCTGTGTAAATGGTTTAATAAATTATGGTCATGATGATGAACAGGTTATTAGAATGAATTACAAGTAATCTGAATTGAAACACCGAGTTTTCAATTAACATACTTTCTGCGTTATTTAATTTTAAGACAATTTCAGTTTAATGGATTACAACGGACGTATTTATAGATGGTACCACCCGGTATTATTCATTGTCTTATTCAGTTTGACATATAAATGTATTTGTTCTGTGTGTTTCCTAATATTTGCGTGTGCAAAACATTAGAATTAATGCGTCACAGTTGTTTCTCCCACACTCTTGGCTCACAGACAACGACCCCATGTTTGTGGAGACAAAATATTATTTTTAAAAAGTTTACAAGACCTATTACGCTTTAGAAATTTAACAAACGCAACTTTTCTAAGCAAAAATAACTGTCACATAACAAGCATCTTATAATGTCAAATGATTCTTAATGTCCGTAATCGTGCTGTCAGTGGGGGTCAATAGAACTCTATTTGAATGCGATAATACATTAATATTAAGTTGAAATGTCTAAAATGTTTCCCAAATAAGTGATATTTGAGCTAAAACTCGCGAAACGAATGGTAACGCACCAGCTTTAGTAAGAAATTTAGAAATTTAAAGGACTTAAAAGATTTAACCACGCTGTACACATGTTTAATTACAAACGCGCGGGAAAATTTTACACACAATGTAATACTTAACCGTTGTGCGAGGGGTTTATCATATCCTCATATTTATTTTAACTAATCCCAGCTGTTTTGTTTTATATGAAAATTTATATGCAATGCCTGTTGCCCCAAGATGCGTGGATTCTGTTAAGCAGTCTTCAAAGTATAACTATATTAAGTTAATTAAGTTTATTGTGATATTTGTTTTTGAAAAATTTCACATAATCTATATGTAAACCCACTTTGTTTTGAAAGTTTAATTTAACTTTTGTATTTTAATATAAATCATAATTAAAACTCTGTTTTCGATAGAAAGCAGTAACTTAAATGGCTAGAGGATGCCCGCAAGTTATGCCTCCACGTACCCTGTTTAAGGCGTTTAATTTATTATAAGCCAGGCAATAAATCTAGCGCAATAGGTCTCTAAGGCTCTAAGCGAAATTACTTATCTGAAACATGTTTTTCTTCATATTTCACACAGCTTATATGGGGCGTACTAAATTAACGAAAAATTATTAAATTTGTTGTCATGTTATGATGCAAACTAAGATACAGTGTAAACAATTAATTAACTGATAACGACGTAAAATTTAATACACAGTAGTTGCAAGTGGAAATTCGACTCCTAGTACTACATTACAAAAATCAATATCTAAGAAAGTTTTCTGGTTACAGAAAGAAAAGGACACACAGGCGGCTATCCTGAGGGTTTTTGGACTTACCCTCGGTCACTCCAGACAAATATCTGGATAATGCCTTTTATTAGGCCACAACTGTTTCCTTCCACATCCTATCGAATTCATTATTCACTAATCATCATAACATCAGATGCTATATAAACTGAATTATGGACTGCGTCGTTAAATAAACTTCAAACACAAAAAATGTACACGTGTATTAATTGTAGAATGGATGGCAAACGCGCCACAATTGTTACGTTGAGCGTATTTTTCCTAACTTGTATTTGAAAGAGAGATCGCATGTAATTCCACTATGTATTTGCAAGGAAAATATTAATTAAGGCGTGGATTCGAACTCAGACCAGCTGTACGAAAATTAAAATTATTAATGACGTCTGTATTCCTTCAAACAGGTGCATGATCTCGTAAGATTATTTCACATTGTTAAATAAGGAAAATAAATCCAGGGGATAACAGAGACCTAGTTCCCTGCAGCGCAACTCACGCACGGACGCGCGCGCACATAAACCATTTAGCGTCTATGTAATAGTTCCCACAATAGAAGTGCGCACAGTACGTGGAAAAATGCAGGACTTAAGCGGAGTCCTATAACAAGCTTTTAAATGTCTGTACTTATTTTTCGTATAGTCTTGAAAATTGTCCTCCGTTCGTTTCTTTCTTTTTGGACAAAAATCCCCGAATCGGGAATTGAGGTTAGCTCCTTCCAGCATAACCAATAGATTACTTTTTATAGCTTTACTTGATGATGGAAGCAGAACTAGCTCTGAAACGTGTTTTAGCCAAGAAAAGGTTTGAAAGAAAATGTACAAGAAAATGTTCGAGTTTAACAACACACTTTCGTCACAAATCATTAGACTAACTAAGTGACCTTAATAAAAACAGCCATAGTAATCACGATAACCAAGTGACCATGGCAACAGAGGCAGCCTGGATATTTCCCACCCAGTTATTTCGTGTAAAGCGCCCGTCTTTGGCATCACGTTTTAACCAAGATTTGAATGTGCCAACAAGTTATGTTAAAACTCACCAGTATCAAATCTCGTGAAAATCCATTCAGCCGTTCTCCACTTTTTACGCATGTACAGTCTGACAGACGGACGGAGCCATTTTAATAGGAGTTCCGTAAGGTTCCTAAGGTACCATAAATCTAGTAGCTGTACTTGAATACACATTGTCACAAGAAATTGTGAATTTCATTTTTAGTGCTGACTCATCGAAATCCGAGCGGTGTGCAAATAAAACCTAATTTTTTACTGACATGGTCCCACCACACCCAAAATTCGTAACATTAAAACTGCATCGACCAACTTCTGGAACCGCCATGCCGATCGTTTACTCCTTACGATATCAGATAAATCGTCGAAATGTAATCATTTATTACCATCATGTTGTCAATAATTAAGTTTTTTTTTAAAATTTCGTACGCATCTGTCACAACCACGCGCGTGCTACATACTTCGCGAATCTGTTCATTCCTGTCTTTATAACCGTAATAACATTCGGTAAAGCGCAAGCCTTCAAAGTATGAAAATCCTCATTATGTAATTGTCTCCGTCACCCTGTTACTTCCTCTCTCTTGGATCGTGATATTCTTTTCTGCGCACTGTTCTCAATGTATTTTCTTCTCTTTGGGTGAAACATCAAGTAACATTCGTACATTGTTTCCCCAGCAGCATGAGGACGCCGTTAGAGTCTTCGTGAGTGTAACATTTCTATGCGTATTGTTAAATGATATCAAGTTTCTGTGCAGCAAGCAAGTTATGGGAGGAAGAACGGAGTGTGGTACGGTCCTGCCTTGCCTGCCCAGGGCTGGAAGCCACCACTCAGCAGAAAATCATCAATAGTGGAGGCGGGAGACGTGCCGCCTCCCGGGGTCGGAAGTAAGCCGAGTTCCGGTCGTGTCATCAGAATAATCAACAATCAGGACCACACAGTACAGGCAAGACTAATTACACATTAAGCTCTCAAATCTAGTTATTTGTTGTCCTACTGTGTCTTTGCAATGTTGAAATTTCAGGTTCTGATATAAGAAAGGTAATTAGTTAAGATTTACAATCGTGCTGAAATAATTTCCATGGTCCTCTGAAAGCGATTTCAATTATACATTCCTGCCACTTAACATGCATCTACTTGTAATTCTAAAAGTAACAGCAATTTCAATTATAATAGGGTCTAATAGCCTATATTTTCCGTTCTTTAACCTTGAATAAGTCTTGAATTCGTATTAGATGTAACGCAGCTTAAGTTAGTTGTAAAATTTTACTAAACGACATTTGATTTTACGTTCTCCTTACACAGAACAATTACTTTAAACTTCGTTCCTTTTATATCATTACAATTTGAAATGTTAAGATAAAAAAATAAGTTGTAGGGTAAATACTTTGCGCTATGAAAAGAAAACCCTGTCTCTCCTTTTCAGTGTGACAACTCTGTTCTCTAGAATTATTTTCTTATCCTACTCTAACTTCTGTAATTAGTTTTTAAGTTGTATTACAAGTTCCCCAACAGCAAATTCGATACTTCCAAGTTCGTCCACGCAACGTCTCTCTTCATATTTTCATGTTACACTGAAACCTCACGTCCCTGCCACCACAATAATTGTCTTAAAACCACTGGTGTTGTAAGGGCTAGAGCATGTCATATCCTCTCTGATTCCCAGTCAATTCGTTAAGGATAAAGTGGAGCTCAGACGAGTCTGACTGAGAGTCCCTTCTGTTTATTTCATACTTGAGACACGAAAATTAGAAAAAAATACACTGTTTTAGTATTTCAGTTCTGCTTTATATGTTTTATTGTTTAAGGAGTAAATAGACGGAAAACTTTACTAGTTATTTTGAGAAGATAATTAGTCAGTGATATCAGATCTTTTATAACAGAAGGACATAATATTTTGTGTAACTATAAATATATGAAAATACGTTTAAAATTGCGCGTGAATATTAAAAATTCTTAGACGGTTTTTTCTTCTTCAGATGCTAGAAAAGTTTCGTATCTTGCTGGGAAATTCTAATTCAATTCTAGTAAATATTAGTAAAATATGCGTTGTCATGCGGTCAAATTTATATATAAAGCCAATTTTATTTGTCTATCAAAATTTTGTTTTTTAAACAAAATAACTTTATTTGATTTATTGGATTTCTCTCCCTAAGATACACAACCACACAAACGTCGCTCCCAATAATACCACCAAATGACAATTTGTCTTCGAAATACACTCGTATTTGGTTTTTAATCTGCCATATTAAAATGCTTTTATACTTTGGCTTGAGTGAAAAATATGGCTTTCAGTATTTCAGCAGATCGACGCGGTATACGGTCTTTTAACACTACCGGACATGATTCGAGATTCGTGAGTATTCAAATAGGCTGCCAGAGAGATAAATATCGGCGTCCATTGTTTCTCATTCTAACATGAATTATGTATAACAATTTTGCAGGCACGGCACAATATCCATTTTTGAAATGTAATCTATATATTATCCGCAGGGCGCGCGAACATTTGTCTGGTCTAGTCGACTAATACGTGGGTTCATAATAAAATCAATGACACTGCCGCAAACCCCAACATACCAGCCTCTGCAACTTCTCTAGAAGTACCGTCAACATAGCCGTGGACATTTTTGTATTTTTTTCTAGTCAAAATAAATACCAAGAAATTAGGTAAAAGTGATCAAAAGACTTAACCTACAGGCCCTAATTAATGCTGCATCATTTCAAATAAACGTTGGTTCGCCATTATCATCACCAGAAATAATCACGAGGGCCACTACTTACTACGTTTCTCAACTCCACATTACGTGTTGTCCTTCATCCATACGAGTTAGACACTATTCTAACTTAGTCACATTCACATTTGATCATCGTAACTTATTTCCTTATGACTTATATTAATATTATCTTCTCACATCCTCATCCTTTCAAACAACCGTTTTTCAAGCGGTTTCCTAGATAAAATTCTTTATGCATTTCTTGCTTTTCTACATTTGAACCACATGTCCAGCCCAGTATCAGTCTATTAACTCTGTATATTCGAGTATTTAATAATCCTTGGCGAAATGGAAACTTGAAGCTTTGTCGCTGTAAATAATCCAACTATTGAAACCCGTTCTATGTCAGTTTAATTCAGGTCACGATCTACTGTCCTGCTAACAGTTTATTATTGTCCTCTTGTCTACCCATGAGCGTTTATAACCCCTATTTTGCGCGGCTTTGGAACAAAGTACTGTGCTGATTATTAATGTGTGTGACTTTCTTTGTAGTGTCGAGTGCTGCTGAATCTCAGAACATCTCAACCTTTCGAAGAAGTGCTGGAAGACTTAGGACAGGTCCTCAAGATGAACGGCGCCAAGAGAATGTACACTGTGGCAGGGCAGGAGGTGAGAAAACTATCAAGCTAAACGTAGGTCTATGAGGTACAGAGGTCGTTTCCTCCAGTCCACAATTGTCAGCTAGTCGCTTTCTATCCCTCCCAATCTACACAGCCGCCCTGATGACGGAGGCAGTAAGCACCCCTGAAACGTCGGTCAATATCTACCAGACTATCATCTATCTATCTACCATCTTCATACCGACCGCCGTGAGAACTTAAAATCTCGCCATTTCAGAGGACGGTTTTGTCTGAGTCGCAGGTACGGAGTTTCTCCCAGCTGAGGAACGAATTCGCTGACGTGGACACGTTCTACCTCGCTACGAGTGTGGGAGCGCTCGCCTCGCCTGTGAGACGGTCCCGGTCGCGCGCCGCTACGCACAACCACATGCAGCTCGTGGAGGACGCGAGAGAGGCTGGCACCAGGTCCAGAAGGGCGCGCTCCAAGAGCAGAGCCCGCATCCTGTACGCTGGGGAGCTAGATATTGTGCGTGCCACCAACGGTGAGTTGTCATCAGACCGAGAGGATTAGCACAGCGGTAACGGATTCTGTAGACGTCTGGCTTGTATCCCGACAGAAGTTTGTCTATCTGGTCGAAGAATACGATCTTCTGGATTGCGACACCGTGCAGACATGTAGATGGTTGCCAGTGTTTCGGAGAAACATGCCGCCTGTATCTTCTGCTGGACGGTTTCGAAACCCAGAAGATAATCGAAAACGAAAAACAATAAATGAACCCATAATTTTTAAGCACTGTTTCTGGGCGTACGTCTTAATTCTCTTGGTAACCTCTCCTTGGTAGTTGAAACATCCAATTTTTCATAATTATTGATCTTCTTTCTTATCAGTCCAGAAATGTTCGTTTTATAATATTCGTTGTTTAAACATCTCCACAATTTGTAGGAATATCAGGACTGATGAATTATGGGAATCTGCATTTTCAGATTTCTCCGTAGTGGATGTGATGAAAGAGGAGCCAATACGGGTAACGATCCGAGGACTGAGAAGGACGTTCTATCCCCCTCTTCATCATCCACCACATGACAATTCTCCGCCAGAGAAACGGCTACAAATAAGTTGGGTGTATCCTTGCAAGCAATGTTAAAAAGCGACTGAGGATAAGGAAATATTAAATCTGTATTTGATTGAAATCTGGGGCCTTCCAAACAGGAAGCAGATATACATCACAACGTACAGTTTTAACATAAACTTCATAGTCCTCCTTGAGAATCTGACAGTCGTGCAGCTAGTTAAGAAACTCCCTGTCCTTTACAGAAGCATAAGTTTCAGTACCGTGTTCAAAACAGCCTCCACCGGTCCCATCCTGAGTCAGACCAATCCTGTCCAAACCTTCACACCATATTTCCCCAAGATTGATCTTAACGTTTTCTTTCCATTCACGCCTTGGTCTTCCGGGTGGTCTCTTCTTTTCAGACTTTCCAAGCAACACTTAAAAAATAGTTTTACCTCCCCATGCGTGTTACATGCTCCACCCACCTAATTTTGCTTGACTTGATATCCAGTTTTAACAGGGAAATATATGCTAAAAATCTTATGATGGTTAGATAGGGCCATACTGAGTCTAATAAATTAAAGTTTCGTATCTCAGATGGATCCGTATAACCGCAGTTTGTGCCATCTGGTACGAACAACAACAGATTTTATATGTAGGTTGATGATTCCTTAACCGCCATGCACTGCAGTTACGGGTACCGAGGGACGGACTCAAAGCGAAATTTGTGGGTCCTGCCGACGGGAGAGATGCTGTACTTTGTGGGGGCCGTGGCTGTTCTATACGACAGAGACGAAGACGCTCAGCGACACTACATCGGACACACAGAGGACATACAGTGGTGAGTTCTCGTACACGTCTAAGCCGGCCTCCTATCCTATGTGTACTGGGAGCTCTTTCCCGAGAGTAAAGAGTAAGGCGACCAGTATATGAACATAACCACTCCTTTTCTTCGCTGAATACACTGATATATGCCCATAAATATTACTAACTTAGAAGGCTCTAAACTAGTTTCTAACTTCTACAGTGCCAATATCGATTTCACCGACTGTCAAATAATGTAGTTCCTCTGAATCCATGTCAAATTACTTTTGGCAACTTCCCCTTGATAACACAGGCAATAACGCATGTCAGCTTTGGCAATAAATACCTGTAGAATTAAATTTCTATATAATTAATTTATATAAAAATGTAAAACACGATAGAAAATGGTGCATGGTGATGAATGATAGTGTGGTACAAGTAGTTTTCTGTGCAGTATGGACCTACACCCGTCACGTGAGATGGTGGCATCCGGACAACGCGCCGGTCGGAATCGCAAAACGCAGGCACACATCCGCATCTGGAGCACGGAGACGCTGCTCACTCTCTATGTTTTCGGCATGGGAGAATTCGAGATTGGCGTATCGGCAGTTGCCTTTTCGCAACTGGTGAGTCAAGTTCGTGAATCGCGTTCGGCTTCTTGGGACTAACCGACTTGACATTACGACAATTTACTGATCCACTCATAGTGTCGCACCTTCGAGTTCTACTCCAAAAATGTAGCTAGTTAACAGAGACTACTTGCGTAGTTAATATTTTCTGAAACAAAACTCAGCTTGTTTCATTTAACGTTTAAAAATCAATATTAGGCCTATAACACGACTTTGCGTCATCTAAAACCTGATCTGTCATTATCATGTAAGCCTAAAATTCAGATGAACCAATAATGCTCTTTACTTGAGAACGGTTGTCTGGCCCTGTACTATAGAGTAGGTATATTTGTTATTAACAAAATTAAAACTAATTATTCATAGAGTAGGTTTATATAAGGGTTCCAGAGTGTGGGGAGTGACTCTCTGGTCTATTATTCCTGTGATGTAGATGTTATTTTTGTCTGTCTTTAGTCGGGACATTTCAATTGCTTCATTTCGTCCACTGGACTTTTCAAGTGAGCGTTTGAGAAACTATTTTCTTATATGATGTTTTATCTACAGCGCGGAACTTCAAAACAAATTAAACCATAAACCAGTTCTTAACTAATTATAAACAATATATATTGTTTGAACATTACTCACGTCTTATAGTCGCACCTGAGGAGTCTGTGAACGTCCTGGATTTCCTTCTTCAAACCGGCTGCCATTCTCGGACGTGCGCCTAGGCGTTCAGGTTCACCCTCTAGAACAGCTGTTTCGACGCACGTTGCCCTCTTTGTAATTCCAGAAGTATCTTCTTACGATTACACTTTAAGCGTCGCCCAGATGTAAGGGACTGCCCACCAAGGGAACGTTCGTGCACTGTTTTTTTCTCACAGCTTCTCACTCAATAGGAGCTCTTGGTACAGTCTGACAACTCTGGAAAAAAAATTATAACTCTATAAAAACAAGAATCTCAGTTGTCATGAAACTAAGAAAGAAATGTGTTACGATTTTAACATTCACCAAACTTTCACTCAACTAACTCCACGGAGTTCTTCTTCTTATCCTGAGCCAAATGAATCCAATCCACATGTCCGAATACTATTTCCCTAAGATCAATTTTAATATCATCCTTTGGTACGTCAATGTTTCTTAGTCACGTTGACATATCATTGGTCTGTTATTTTACAGAATGGTGGAAGCTACGTCTTGGCTGTGGACGGGGGCAGGGAGCGGATACTGTCAGTTTGGCAGTGGCAGTGGGGACATCTACTCGGCAAAGTGGCGGTAAGTAAGTTAAATGTTGCCATTATGAGTCATGAGAACGGATGTACGACAGCCGAATGCACAAATACTGTCTTCCCCTTATATGTTCATTTCAAGTGCCTAGTGCATATAACGCATGATAATGTTTAGAAAGCAAGATTTCCCAGCAGCGAGATTCAGTTCACAGATCTGCTAATTCTGAGATAAACAATTAACCCGAACCTTAACAAATAAGCACCACATGTCTTAGACGATAAACGAAGAGCAATGAATGTTTTCTCAGCTGGTATCTGGGTCACGAAACTGAGCTAATGCATTCTTTGCCAAATATTAAACAACGATGGTATTCCACATGGAATTTGGTACAGTGACCTTCCAATATCAAAGACTGATATACCATGGCATTAGTTTCGTCACCTTTGACGTTGTTCAGAAACTTTTCTATGACCTGACGTGTGATCCAGTGTCCTGCTTATTAACCGGGTCATGCAAAACACGACACAGCAATCTTTTTAATAGACATCAAACATAATCTGGATTGAAGATCTCTTTCCATATAGTAAAACGCTCTTGTTTAACTTGGCCTCATTATATTCCAACTTCCACTTTTCGTATTATTTTAATCTTACAAAACCACAGCCTATAATCGATGCGTTTGGCTTTAGTGTTCTTTCAAGTGTAAACAGTTGTTTGTATGCATGTTTTTATATTATAATAGGCCACGATCAAATTTTTACCCCGGGTGTTATATGACGTAAAGAATGGTGACTGAGTTCTTTATGCTGGCCCTAGTGCCATGCCAAGCTGTGTAATAGCGCCTTCGCATGCCATGGTACTGCATTAGCATTCCCTTCCTCTGCAGAGAGATAAACGTGCTACGGTCGCAGTAGTGCATACTGAGAACAGGTAATACATGGTAAAAGAAATTCTTATCTATCATCATTCGGACCGTCATATGCAATCATCTCCATAATAATAATGGCGTTGCTCTCTTACCACGCAGAAGCCTCCAATTTATCCAAACCTTCTGCACATAATAAAACATTCTCAGTTGCTAACGTACCGAACCACTGATGAAAACGTTAATAAACGGTTATTCTGTAGACATTTCTGGTATTATACTTGTCATCATTACCTTCAGCACTTAAACAGGGACCCTCAGTTAAAGTCAGAAAGTACAAAGGGAGACTGCTATAAATGAAATTAAATAAAGACTTGTTTCAGTTCAGGATCCGTCAACAACATGGCAATGTAGTTCTTGTATAAACTGGACATGTAGAATGCGTGGAAGAAGCAATGGTTTCATATTTCATAGGCTAACTAACTACAGCCTTCTTGTTTTTATTTGTGGTTAATTTAACGATGATGTCAGTAGCTCGGACTATAGGCCTATGGCGTCAAATGAAGAATGATTAATGAATGGTAAATGTAAAAGGACGTGGAAAGAAGCGATCGTGGCCTACTATAATGAACTATTCCGGCATGTACCTAGAGTTACTTAGGAAAACCAAGAAGACCTCAGCCACGACAGCCGGTCTTCAGGCAGAAATTTTAACCAGGAATCTTCCGACAGGAAGCAGGAGTGATATCACTCAGCCGCAATGTTCGGTCCAGCATTCTTGAGAAATAATATTCTAGTGTTTACATACATCTCAATATCTACGATTAACTCAAATATTTTTCCGAATGGTGTAGTCATATTTAATACGATACAAAAAGACTTTTCTGTATCTGTGTAGTGTCGTATTCGTACCATTAATTGGCATCGCAACAATATATTTTCTGCAATAAACGAGCATCAAGACCAGTGAAACAGGCCTATATAAAAACTAACAATGCATCTTCATTCTTGTTTCTCCTGAATTAAATCTTGTGAATAGCTTCGCCATACTGTACGTCACGTGATAATGTGTATGCGTCAAGGTCAGTGATCGTCTTCTGTTTGGTTACCTGACTGGAGCCACGAGTTTCCGCTGCAGGAGGTCAAGGTGAATCAGTTAACATGCGATCACGCATCAATGAGACGAATACATTATTGGGATTCACCGGGAAGACGTAACTAAATTGCCATGGGATGAAAATAAATTACAAAAGTAAATTGGACTGCATATCTGAAATTACTTCCTTAAAGCAACTCCACGTGATGTTTTAAATACGTATTTTTGATTTACATTATTTAATTAATTCAAATATGAAACATTATTCTTTCCTATCCGATTATAGTCTATTGTTTTATTTGTCTATTTTATATGGCTTCTCATCGCGGAGGCCCGGGTTCAATCCCAGGACAGTCCATATGGAATTTATGGTAGTCTAATCGGCACCGGGACATGTGTTTTCTCCGAGTACTTCACCTTTTCCCTGCCAGTTATCATACCACCAGTGAATCGTATTAATTAATCTATTACCATTCTCATTAATGAGGTACAATACAACAGGTCCATTTAGGTAGCAGTGCCAAGGGATTAAGTCGAATTCCACTCCTATGTCTTCATTTAACTTACTGCACAGTAGGTGAGGGATCGATCTATCGCAAAGCTTCCATTTACACAAGAGTACAAAGAAGAAATACATTTCAAGAAACTCAAATACATGTTTGGATGAAATCGGTACAACGCGGATAATATTCGGACGCCATGATTTGCCTGATGTGCATCCCACGAACAGCTTTTTAACTGAGCCCCAACATGTCATTCGAAAGCAGGTAAAACTGTACTCCAAACTGCAACCGCCTGCAACACAAGACATAGGCTATATGCCTAACAGTACTGCCGAAGATGTTGCCGCACAAACACGGCGAACTCCACGCGACAGAATCGAACAAGCAGTGGGTTTAAATCAGTGAGTAGAAACCAAGACATTCACTAACAGTATCATTATACTGCACTATCGAGTGGTGTTCTAGGCAGGAGTAAGCTGGTAACAAAACACGCAGATTTCTACTCTTTCGAGTACAAGGACGTGGAAAGTGTATGTAGCAATGCGTAACGAATGTTTGTTTTGCAGACCCTACAAGACGATCTGACGGGAGCAGCGTTTCACCCACTGGACGATAATCTACTTATTACACACGGGAAGGGACACCTCACATTCTGGACACGACGGAAAGACGGATTCTTCGAGCGGACCGATATAATCAAACCGGTTCGTTCTGCAGTCACTACAAATATTGTGTAATTTGTACGTTGGGAACTCTCTTAACAAATTGCATGTCTCCGCCTGTCTGTATACATGCATTGTATAAGCTGTGAATAGATTTTATAAAATATTATATGAGAATTTATTATTAATATGTTACCTCGGCACTGCATATCAGAGACACGAGACAAAAATACAATCCCACAGCTTGTTGATATTAGTGTAAAACAACCATTACTACACAGGTCCTAGAATGGCAGGCATTTTCCATTTCCCGTAGAATATCCACTATGCAAGACGTTTCGGGAGTAAGCCCTACGCACTTCCTTTTCATTGTACTGACAATTCTATAATTTGTATTTAAATAAATTTGTCAGTCAAACGTAAACAAAACAATAGTAGCCAATCGTCTGAAGATAGGGATATGAAGTACAGCGAATTTACGATATGTAGCACGAAGTTGGCTGTACTCCCACTTTCGTCTTCAGGTGATTGGTTGTCAATATACTGAAAGATTTTACATTATGTGACAGTTGGGACCAAACGCGAGGCTTTCTTAATACTAGGCTAGTACGCTGACTACCACAGCCAACTCCGTTAATAAACCTGACAATAGACCACGCCCAACATAATTGACCAGTGCCATGAAAAACGCCAGACTTGGCACCACAGAAAGGAAAAGCTCAAAGAATTATCACTAATTTCAGACATCAAGAACCAACATCACAACGCTTCAATTTGAGCAAGACGGAGACGTGGTAACAGCTGATGGTGACGGATTCATCACAATTTATTCAGTTGACAGCGATGGCGCTTACTTCGTCCGCATGGAGTTTGAGGTAAATACAGTTTTTATGACAATCTTTAGCTCATGTAGGATTCAACTTTTTCACGGTGATGTCAATTTACGTTAACCCTGAAGATGAAGACAGTACGTTCTCCAAAAAGGTTGGTGTACAACCACAAGACTGTGGGGCACAACAATCCAAAAGGCCACAACCAAAATTTCCCCCTTATTTTTCTTGTTAAAATAAAGAAAATTTGGAGTAACATACAAGATCACCAAGTCGTATGTGTACGTAATTGACATTAATTGTTTACTGTCCTCATGTTATATTCAGGCTCATACCAAGGGCATCAGTGCTCTTGTCATGCTGTCAGAGGGCACACTACTTTCAGGAGGCGAAAAGGATCGCAAGATAATTGCTTGGGACACACTTCAGAACTACAAGAAGATCACTGAGACAAAGGTTGGCAAGTTCATCAAACATTATAATCTGCATTTAAGAAATCTATGTGATTTAATGAAAACTGTTTACTAAACACACACACACACATTCTGCCGTTTCTGTTTTCTAGTTTCAGAGGTCATACTGCCTCCGTCATCTCATCGAACATCGACCAGACTACACAGCGCAACAACCCAGAAGACAGAAATCTTCATACTCATCGCCCTGATGATGGAGGCAGTATGACCTCTGAAACGTTGGTAAACATCGACCAGACTACACAGCGCAACAACCCAGAAGACAGAAATCTTCAATTATCAGGCACTTGAAATAGTAGAGCAAACAAAAAATTCAGATATGGATCTTGAATGGTGTCATTATTTCACTCAACTAAAAACTATTTATTTTCACATGAAATATATGTATAAATTAATTTTCTTAAAGAGTGAGTTTAATTTTATTTACTTTAGCTGCCGGAGTCAGCAGGTGGCGTTCGAAGTATTTATCCACAGCGACCAGGAAGAAATGATGGCAACATCTACGTTGGCACCACACGAAACAACATAATGGAAGGATCCTTACAAAGAAGGTTCAACCAAGTATGCATCACCTGTTATTTAAATCTAACCAAAATTTTAAAATATTTTACAAGCTGTCATAGTCTCTTCATGGTTGATAATATAAATACAAGTATGCTAAATGTGGGATACAAAAGCTGTGAGTTCTTAATGTAACTCGCTTATTGAGTTTGTCTGTACACTGACATGTTCCACATAACGATTAACAGGGATCCATGGAATGCATAAAATATAATCTAAACTAAACATTTTCACATAAAGGTAGTTTCATGTTTGTAACAGTCAACAGCCCTAAGAAAGTTAGTCGGTTCAAATGAACATTCAGTTTGTGATTGAATATATCAGCACATGACCTAGAATTCTTATTTGAAGTCCACACATAATAACGCATTAAGCAGTACATGAATGATAGCATCTTGAGGGGAAAAGAGTGATGTACATGAATGTATATGATTCAAATAAAAGCAGGTAAAATAGTATCAGGTGATGGGAAGTGAGAATTAATCATTATGTTAAGTTATTGAACTAAAAAAAAATGCAATTAATATTACTCGTAATGAAGTAATAAACGGGTGGAAGTCAGAAGTATTTGAGAAGACAGAAAACAAAAAAGAGATGAATGTGAAGTAGTGCACAGTTGCAGATTGAAAAAGTAGATTCCAGCTACCGTCAATTATATGTAATAAAAAATAAGTTATACTGTTGCATAACAACACAATTATAAATTTTTCTTCTTACTCTATGTAACAGACATCATACTGCTTTGTGATTTTAGTTTATATTTTAGTACTATACATAAAGATTCTTGAATGGTCAATTTGTCAAACCGATTATTCATACAAGTTTTATATGCCTGTTTCAGGTTGTATTTGGACATAGCAGACATTTGTGGGGGTTGGCTGTTCACCCAGACGATGACATGTTTGCAACTGGAGGACATGACAAGAATATTGCAATGTGGAGGAGAAACAAACTGTTATGGAGTGTCCAGGTGCGCAGCGAGTTTCAATCTGTGAGAGTCCTCCACTATTTTGTCTGTCTTTCCCCACCCCAAGTAATTGGACTATTTTACTAGCAATTTCTTTTTCTTTTTGCCAATTTTGGAAGATTTTTTGGAGGAAATCGAGCCCTTACTTTTGAATTTTTCAACCCCGCTACATCATTCAAATGCTGCCACTATTACTGCTGCTGCTGCTACAGCTACTGCTACTACTACTACTATTATTAAGCAAATGTTATTTTTAATATAGAAATGATTTGATGTAAACATTATGTTTCAGGGTTTATATGAGAGTGTTTCCTTATGTTTCCATCCATTTGGAGTGGTGTTAGCAGCTGGTAGCACAGAGGGCCACCTTGTAGTACTCAATGCAGAAAATGGGGCTCCTGTTGTTACAATAAGGGTTTGTGGCTCACCGCTTAACTGCTTGGGATACAACCCAGGTACGTTATTTTTCAGTTCATATTATCACACTACTTTCTTTTACATTACATTATATTCTGATATCTGAGACAAATCTGAGTGCATGTTTTCATTTTTAACTTCGGAATTCCTGTCAATGTTGGTCTTCTGGCTTGTGATGCACATACTGTGCCATCCTTGACCACCTATAAGTTCACACTGTGACACATTCCAGAAGACCATCATTGACATCTTCACAGCTGTAAGAACCTCAAATCTCATTTAAAATACCTGGTTCATTTTCAACAAGATTTTACAATTCAGTTAGTGACACTAGATGGAGATGAGTGATAAGAATCACAATTCACCAATTTTTTCACCAGGGATACAGCCCCTGGAAATCCTGAATTGGAGGCTTAGTGGGTCCAAGAACCAATATGAACGTGGTGGGAAGGAGAAAAATCCATGTCCTTGTCAGAAAATAAACTACAATTTTCAAGCCTATAGCCAGTCATTTTATTATATGAGATGTCCTTGTTCATCAGTTCTTATTCTTCAGTTTATTTAATGATGCCATTTAACCTGTCAAGGTTATGTAGTGTTTAATGAGATGTGAAACAATTAGTATAATTATCTCAGAGGGATGTGCAAAGAGGTGGTCATAACCTGTTTTAAAGTATTGTTCCAGCATATAGTTTGATGAACTGTAAATACTGTGAAAATCTTCAAAATAGCAGGTATCCTAACCAGATCTGAGGCATGAGGCTACAAAAGTATATCCTATAATGAGTGGGTAAGTATAAACTATTAGTGCTATTGTATAAATGAATTATTTTCTCTCTGTTTGCAGCTGGTGACATGATTGCACTAGGATCACAGAATGGTAGTGTGTACTTGTTCCGTGTCAGCCGTGATGGCTTTTCATACAAAAAGTGGAACAAAATTCGAGGTTCACAACCACTCACTCAACTTGACTGGAGTACAGATGGGTGTTATTTACAGACAGTTACGGCAGATTATGATCTTGTATTTTGTGAGTATACCTACAGCACATTTTGTCAGAGTAAATTTCCTGTCAAGGACATTCATCATTTGTGGACAAGTTGGCTGAAGGCTACATATATAGAACGATGAATGAACTTTCATTATTAATTTAGACTATGTCATACCATACAAATAAATAATATTATATTCAGAAATCAAGATACAAATCTACATATAAGCACTATCATCATAGTGGTGATAGTAATAGCTGCACGAAATTTGTCCCTTATTTAAAATCAGTAAATCTATTTAAAAGCTACAAGCTATTTAGAATTATTGTATTTTATTGAATATTCAATTTCAAACCTGCTGATAAACATTTCCATTCTGTAAATTTTGTTCCATATTTTTAATAATATTATTTGGTGATGTCACATTCATTTAAATATGAAGGAAATACTTATACCAATATCACAGTTATGATCATAATTTTTCAAATAATTTATATTAATTTTCAATTCTTTTAGCACATAACAGAAGCAAAGTCTTTGGATCAGTCTTAGAAATAGGTGCACACTTCACATGGTACAAATTAATATATATTATTATATCTTGTGTTACATAGCACCAATTATGTTTCCCTTGTTGTCATTAGAGCAATTTAAGAAATTATGACTAACTCAGCAATGTACTTATTATTCACAGGGGACATTAAGAATGTTGTGACAGAGAAAAGTTCTATTGGTATGAAAGATGTCAAGTGGTATACGCACAATGCCACCATTGGTTTCCTAGTAGCAGGTATGTGCAAGTTCAATTAAAATGGCCAATATTAAAAATCAGAAAATTAACAGTCCTCTCACAATTTGTTCAAAATAAAACAAAGGATGTGAATACTGCACACAGAGGGAGAACAGTATCATTACATAAAAAGAAGTCAAATAAATGGAAAATATATAAAAAAGTAGACACATCTGTCTACTTGGGAAGTATGGTGGAGAAAAAGTTTAGATAAAAAATAAGATAAATGGAAGAATTTACAGGCTCCAAAATTTTATCATCTGACTAATATTTAGCTTTTCACACTGCTAAGGCCAAAGCTTTTCTACAAAATAACAGACAGTACATGCACTCATGAGACTATGTTAATTCTTGTGGTTCATCTTAGAAAGGAGAAAACAGGACAGAGTTGTTTTCACATTTGTACCTACGTTATTGTATTGTACCTGGGTAAAGATACAAGTGTCTTCAATTTTCATTCCAAATATTTACTTTCTCAAGACAACATAGAGACAAACAGTGTGTCTTATATCACAATAACCTCTTTACAGGAATCTGGAATAACAGATTCTATCCTATGGCCTCACTCATTGTAACAGCAAATCGATCAGCTGCACATGACCTGTTAGTGACTGGAGATGCTGATGGATACTTGAGGCTTTTCCGGTAAGTTGGAATATTTTAGCAGGAAACATTTATTTATATTAATTATACCTAACAAAATATAAGAAATATCTTCTAACCTTATTTACAATAACACATTTATACCTATAATAAATTAACAATGAGGTATGCAAAATAGTAAACAAAACTGTGGTAATTGTGTATACCTTTCCACTTTTGTATATGTGGGGATTTGAAAAATTAAAATGTTTTAAACATATGTTGCAGTGATGTGTATGAATTGGACTGATGTAGTTTTTAATATGTTGTCTAATGGCAGGCTGTGTCAGCTGACTTGAACCTTTATGTTCTCATACTATAGTTGGTTTTGTAGTATGCTAGTGTGATGCACATTTAGCTCAACTGCCTGTCAGACATGGTGTGAAGTCAATAAGTGTTAAGTACAACAGCTTTCCCACAAATGTAATAAAATATTGTTTCCTCAACATTAACTTTATACAAAAATAGACCATGTAACCTGATTTAGTAGGATTATAATTTATGCCTCTTATGAAATTTAAAAGTGTGTTACTTCTTTATGCAGGTACCCATGTCTGAGTGCCAAGGCAGAGTACAATGAAGAGAAAGTATACAGCATGCAAATAGCTACAGCACGCTTTATGTATAACGACAAGAATGTTGTCACTGTAGGTGGTACTGATGCCACATTAATTTTATGGGATGTTATTGATGACTGAATGAAGACAGTTACTCCAGAGCTAAGATGTTTATAAACATAAGTGCAAATAGTGTGAAGGAAACTTGAGAATACATGTATCACAGTGTTAAATGCCACTTCTGAAAGGTAATTTTACATGGAGTGCGATCAGAAATGACCATAAAAGTTGAACTTCAGTCACATCCTGGTACTTTTCAGAAATATTTTAGAAGGAAAGCTTTATTTTTGACATATAACTGCAATTCTAACTCTTTCCAAACACATTCACATGAACAGGCTTTCCTTCAAAGAAGAAATCATAATGAAACCAGAAAGAAATTATTAAATGATGTGTATCAGTAATAAAGTATACCTATTTACACAATTCTGATTCAGTGGCTATAATAAATTAGAACAATGCAATAATCTATCAAAAAGAAAAATGAGAACAAAACAAAACCTCTAAACCCACAATCTCCTTTAAACTTATATATAAATATCTGGAAACTTATAATATGGATGTTAGTGTATGAAAGATACAAGTTTGATTCCTTGATAGCAGAAAAATAATACTGCAGGGAAAATGGATCTGTGTTATTTAATTGTCAACACACTTCCAAACAATAATATATGGTTAAGTTACGTCCTATCACAACTTACTAGTTATCTGACAGAAAATGACTTCAAATAATCCTGACTTACCACCACAAAGTTAATAAAATAAATACAGTTTTAAGGAGCTGAATATCAGCAGAATGGCATGATTTAAAGAAACAGTTCTTTTGATTGGAAAGAGTTTGTAAATATGTAATAAGAACTTTTATAACACTGAAGGAATTGCAGCACAGCACATTCTAATTCCATTATATGCACTTTTATTTCAAATGTGAGTCAAGAGCAGGGAACAGACAGGGTTTTTCTGTCATATTCTCAGGAAAACCAGAGAACTGTATTTGTAGACAACATATTTATGAATTCCAAAAACATTTTGTTATAATTTTTCCCTTGATTGAAGCCCATCACATCAGAGGTTTTCCTACATCTCAAAATTTACACATTTACCAATCAACTCTCTTCTCTCCCCAGATCCTGATTTTCATACTTATATTAAAAAATCTTTCATATAAAGTTTTCAAATTCATAAATTAACACAATTTAGTGAAGATATGTGTGCCATATCAATAAGACATTACATACTTATACACACTACATAAAAATCTGTATTCCTGAAGAGTACAGTGCTCAAATAGGGTTACAGTACTGTAGCACACTGGCACTTTTCACACCTACTATTGCCCACACCAGTACCTGTATAAACAGCTTTCATTTTGATGGAAGATTCATATCCATATTACATTTAAGATTAAATTCCTATTATATGAATTATATTACACAAAACACATATTTACTGACAAAGGTGTTTGTGACAAGTTCTCACATGAAATATCAGCAGAAACTAGTGAACTTCAATTTAGCCCTAATTTTATATTCAAATGCATTAATTAAAACTGTGTATGACAAAAAAAATATATATTGTAATTACTTGTGTAAGTGAAAACACTGAATAATGTTTTATAAATGAAACAGATAAGGACACAAATCAACTGCGTTTATAAGAGTAACACAACTTCAACCGTTGTGTACAAATCACATAATATGCTGCATACCTACAGTAAAGAACCAAACTGCCATTTGATAGCTGTGTGTGTTTGTGTGCATGTAAAATAAGAATAAACATACTACACTCATCTGTTAATTGTTGATGAATGTTCTTGATATACATGTAGTATATAGTCAGTTATGCGTTTTAACTTCATTGTTAATAAAGTCATTGATAGACCATTTCTTGTAACACAACATGCCAATTATTTTTAGTCAGATTGAGAGGGCATGAATATAATATATGATAATGGTATTGTATTGCCATTTTTCATTATATAAGAAATATTTAACATATAATTTTCTTTTTATCTGTAGTTTGTGGAATAAAGAACATTAATACACACTTTTTAAACTGCCAGTGTGCTGTTGTACTCATATCTACTAAAACGTTTCTATAGTAATGCACTGATAAACTCTCAAATTACCATACCAAACAGACAGTTGCTAAAACTCTACCAAACTGGTTAGATGTTAACATTTTTGTTAGAAATCAGCGCAGCAGTAACAGTGACATTCTTTCAATCCTATTATGTCTTCAGGAAATATAATCAATGTAAGGAATACATAAAGACATTCAATCACAGACAGAGGCAAATGTAACTCTCATCCTATTTTGCAATTGCTATTATTGTTGCTGAACAAATTAAACTATTATTACTAGACAATTAGGATAGAGTTTGTAATTGGACCCCCACAGAGATTCATGTTTCCATAAAAATAAGTTGGTCTTAGAATTGACAGTTTTCTTCCTGTATTACTAACATTTTTAGTTGGTTTTGCCATGCTGTTTGATTTTGTGGAGATATGATGGACACATTTTTGTGATATTCACAGGTCATACCAGACAAAAATTAGTGTGAGAAGATAAAACATATTCAAGTTCCTAAAATAACCACTTTTACTACTATCTATTTCTCCCAATTTACTTCCATCAAAAACAGTGAAATTGCAGAAGAGAGTAGGAGCCGAATACCACGTACAATTTCAACACCTTTTCCAACAAAATAATATGATGAATTTCATACAGATGTCATAAAAAGTCATCTTGCTCCTAAGTAACATGCCATGACAGTGTATGGGAAGAGTGGAGATATGTATCATTAATACAGCAATAGAAGGAGAGAAATGGTTAGTTTCATGCTCCAGCTTCTTTAACTCTAGGGCAAAAGGTATGATACCCATTGAATAGGATTATGGGTGGATACAATTTCCAGTCAGAACATGGTGAGTACTGAATCTATCAACCAATTCAGAACCAATCACTCTACTACTTTAGCTATCTTGGCTAATCTTCTTCTTTTGTAATCAATCCTAGGATTGGTTGGCAACAGCTATTCCGAGCTGCTGATACTTGGGAAATCCTGAGGATCTTTAATGCGGTGGATTCCCCTTGCCTTCCGCATCCTATGCCGTTGACCCATCTGGGTTCATCCGCCTTTAGGGGTGATTTTTTCACCCCGAGGGCATGAGGGTGCCCTGAACCTCCACCCACTCATCCACCCTCACAAAATATAGCTCAAAAGTTTGCCCATGCACATGTAGCAGTGCCACTTGACCGTAAAGCTCTTATTGAAATGTTTCCTGATCATATTTAAATTTTAATTCACTTGGAGAAGTTGGACTTATACACAAAGCTTGAAGTTAAAATGATGGAAGGTCCCTACTGTGTTTTATGGATATGTATTTTATATTAGTACTTCTTAACTGTTCCATATTGCAACAGGGCATTAAAGAAATATGACAAGGAAAAACAACTAAAAATGTTACACAAAATGTTTGAGCACTTGCCAGTCATGAAAACATGGAAATAGAAGATGATTTTAGGAGTCCTTATGGCAATGAGTATAAAAATGGCTGTCTTCTAGAAGTTTTCACTGGCTGATATTGATGGATGTTTCAGATCACTTATGACCCTTATGATGCAGGTACAAGTTCTTTGAAATGTCGGTCAATATTTACCTGACTACAACATCCCAGAAAACAGTCATTTACATACAGCAATATAAATTTGGAAACCTTATTGTAGGTTAATTCTTTTGGAATTCTCGTTAAATGCATTTAATGTGTATCAATATAATGTTTATTACAACACACTACATTGATGGTGACAGAATGAAAATAAGGTTTAGAATGAGAAAAATCCACCTTAATATTTTGTTATATACTTTAAAACATATTAAATAAGCTAAATAAAAAGCTTAGGGCACTCCTTAGTTAAATATCATGCTAAAATACAAGTACTTTGAGTAAAGTTTGTACAGCAGTTTTCCAAGCTAGATACTCAGAGAAATAAATTATCTTACTTTAAAAGACAAATCAATTCACATACCAAATTTTTAAGTTGTTTCTAGGAGATACTGGATGGAAGAAATGGAAGAGAATGTTCAATTGGTGATGGCTTTCTTTCAAATAGCAAATATGTTTAACAGAGCACAAATTAAGTTACAATTCCGATTATAGTTTTTAGGTTCACTTTCCATTCTTCATAATGGATAGTAGAGTCCCAATTTCTAATCAGCATGATGTGGCAATGTATTCTTGAATCACATTATTTGAAGTCTCTGGTAGGTCTCACAGCAGCTAATTCTAAATGCGGAGCCTTGTTAAAAAGATAGAAATCCCCCCCCCCACAGTAACACTAATATACGCAGGTCACTCCTAAAGTAATGCCCCACACTTATTTTACGGCATAATATTTCTTTTCAGAATGTTACTTTCCCGCCGCATCTTCATTTTTACCGCCTATTATACTGATAGTTACAAATTTCTTCCCACATGTGGCGGTGTTGTGGCAACCGCTAAATATGGCTGTCCTCTTCCGCATTAGTAAGAAATATAATTTCCATTAAAAGTACATTACTCTGCTGTTCTTGAGTTTTCGGTATTTCAGAAGAAAACCATTGGAAACATCCAGAAGCGACTACAGAAAGTGTACAGGGATGACACTCTGGCAGTGCAAGGCTGCAATCACCACAAACGGATGCCGTCATAGTCATAACAGCAAGTGGACGCATAACTAACAAAAACTGGATGCTGCTGAAGCAAACATGTGCTCGTGCGTGTTCCCCCGACAGTTGACACAGACACCTCGCACGATTTGATTGTTCGTGGCGCGAGACGAAACTTATTTTACCACTTCGAAACAAAGAGACAGTTGATGCAGTGGTGTCATGGAAATTCTACACAGAAAAGATGTTCAAAGACTGCACTTTCCACTGGTAGGGTCTTGATGAGTAAGTTATACTTGTAAGAATCATGCCAAAAGGAACCAGTACCATCAATTCAGAGCTGTATGACAGCACACAAACTTTTGAAGTGCCTGCACTGTTTGACCACATGGTCACATGCACCACAATGCTCAACTCCACACCAGTCTGTGAACTGCAGAAGTGATTGCCAAGATTACATGGACTAATGCCACCCCATTCTTCATACCATCCTGAACTGGCACTTTAAGCTCATGGATGGCATTTGTGGTACAAAATTGGTGGACTGTAACTCCCTTGTGAAGGCTGTGAAACAGTGGCTGAAGTATGAAGAACAGAAATTTTACTGCAGACATACAAGCTCAAGTTTTGAGGTGGCACAAAGTAATTGAGCATGACAGTGATTGTGTAGAGAAATTGGTTTATGTTCCATGGTGATGTACTTAAGACAGTGTACAAGTAACAATACTAAAAATAGTGTAGAAAGGTGTGGGATACTAATTGTGACCCCATGTACTTGTCACATTTCTTAAGAACAAGCACAGGGCAGTAATCTCCCAGTCTTTCTACATTTTTGCATGACAGCTCTTCACATTGACCTTTCTTCAAAGCCATATGAACTAAAGAATCTATGTCATTCAAGTCTAACCTCTACAGGCCTCATAGCCATACTGTGGATGTTATAAATTGTAGGTATGGAAATACAATTGTAATGTTTTTCACAAAATTATTAGCTATCATGTAAAAATATGTGAAACAATTATGATTCCTTAGTACTGTAATATTACTGTCTAAATAATATATATCACATTTAATTAATGATCTGTCCAGTACAGTACCTAATATTAAGGCAATATTCATTAATCATCCTTTGCAAAACATTCCTGCATAAGAACTCTTTCAAGTTGATATTAATATGCAACATTGAATGTGGCAATGCAATAGAGGTATATGTGAATATGTCATGTATACAAGAACTCCATGACTGCAAATAGTTCAGCTTTTCTGTATAGCCTTAAATGTTTGGCAATGTGTCTTTGAAAGTATAGCTCAAGATGCCAGACTTGAATTCAGTAACTGCAGAAAATTCAGTCACACAGCCAGATTGACGAGAGCTGAGAGAACTGATTTATATCAGGAGAAGGTGTCCATAAAATAAGCACAAGGTAGAAGGAACATTCTTATAAGTGAAAAGATATATATAGAATTTTTAATATTTTACTATCATACACATCAAGCAACATTGTGCATAAAATATACATTAATATGCTGTGAGAGAAAGTCTTACAAAATAAAGTAACAAAGCATGATGTTCCACCATATTCAACCTTTCTCGGCTGTGCATCACAGTAGCATACAGTAACTGTTAACCCCAGAGCTAAAGTCTGGCCAGCAGCCCAGTATAAGGTATTTAAGTTCCTTATTCCAGTTCAGTAAAGGTTAAATCAACACGAATGTGTACAAATTCTTGGAAACAAATTCTCAGCTATGCTACATCTATACAGTTCCATAAAGTAAATTTAACAATTTCATGCCAACATATTTTGTGTTTGTCATCACGCTTCTCCTGTACCTTGACTGCTGTGTATGTCACTTAATCTTAATCAGTCTTTAATAAAAAAAATACAGATCACACCAAATCTTGGCCCATTTATTGTAAACATATTCAATAAATTTAGCATACCAACACTGATAATCCTCACACTGTTTGCAGTCTTTTAGAGAATTTTACATATAATATATATATTTGAGTAGTCTGTAATTGATTAACATTATCCTCTGAAACTGCCATAGTGTTCTAATTTATGTTTCATTCGGAGAAGAATTTGTTTCCATCTTCACAGCTTCAGGGTTAGCTCTTTGCTTATCACATGCAAATTTTTCACTGTTTGTATCAACTTTTGCTACCCTTACAGAAATCACTTCTTCCTGCCTCGTCAAACTGTCTGAAACTATTCCATCAACCTCCGGTTTAATGTTAGCACACACCTTCTCATATATTGCACTTTCAAATTCCATTTCCTTTTCTTCATTTACTGTAAGGTCTGATCCTACATTTGAAATACTGTTAACTATGTCCATTGCTTTGATTACTCCACCATTGTCTGTTGAAACAGGGGGACTACCTCTCATTAGAGGGACACCAGGATTCATATCCTGTTCATTTGAAATATTCATTTGAAAATGATCATTGAAAGACCTATTGGGAACATCATCATGTTCTTCCAAATTTTCAGTTCCACCTGTTTTCATTGTAACCAGTTCTCCTGCTACAATGTTACACGCTTTGTAAGTTTCAGTACCACAGTTATTCCCCACAGTATCATCACCATCATCATCAATTTCTCTACTAGAAATGCTAACAGGCATGTAAACAGGGGCTCGTGAAGTACCTGTGACAACTGTGTGAGATGGTGTGTTGGTATTACTGGCTGCTGAACGAGATGGTGAAATTTCACCCTTGGTGAACAACTGAATGGGTCGCTGAAAACCCTTAGACTGGTGGAATGGAGTACCGATTACTTCACACTGAGTGAAACCAACTTCTGATGAAAGAAGATATTCTGTAAACTTCTGTGGGAATAACTCGATGTTGTGGTAATTCTTGAAGATGGTCTCCTGAAATAAAGTCAGTACAAATATAAGATAACAAATCTGAGTTACTGGCCACCAAAAAAAGCTGGAACATACATAATATTAATGCAACTGAACTGGAATGGATGACTGTAGTTTGATTCCTGGCAGGGGCTGGGATCTCTCTTCAGCACTGTATCCAGAATGATTCCAGGACTCCATCCAGTTTTTATCAAATAGGCACCAGTGTGGCTCCTTCCCTCCACCAAGTGCTGACATTAAGAATGCCAGTATAATAATGCTACAGAAGAGGAAACTTAGCATCTCAAATTCATTTAAAAATCATTCCTAGGAAAAGAAGACATCTGCCAACAATGAGATTAGTTTGTGTATCATAACAAAAACATATTACTTGGAGAGGGTACATGAACTATGTTTTAAACTTTTTCATATCAAGAAGTAGCAGCTAGTTAATGCAGAATTTTCACTGACCAGTAACTACAGAAAGGACACTGTAACAGATGAACAACAGTTTCATACATAGATTTAACAACCTGCTGACACATGCAAATAAAAACACTTTCTCACTTAAAGTATCATTTATCAGGATAAGATACAAAAAAAATCTTTAAGAATTTAATGAAGAGGTTAGATCAGAGGTCAATCTAAATTGTATTAAGGAACTCAAACTGAAATCTGCCAGGTGATCTGCCATCCTGACTGAGGTTTTGCAATGCTTTCTTCAGCCCTTCCATGCAAATCTGAAAGGCATCATATCTACTTCACAAATTTATTTAATGACATTCAGGAGCTCTGACTACACAGATTCACAAATTCATAACCCTTCTCACAATTCAACACTAACCAACCTCTGCAGTTGATAGTTTCATTATATAAGCTATAAATGAGCAATCACTATCAATCAATGATGCATCAAGCAGAAAAATATCTTTCTCATTTTGTGAACTGTTGTGTAGTACACATCTGATTATTCTGACTTCTCACGTTAGATTTTCCCAGTCTGTCCTGCTTCAATTGTGTTGTAATCACTGAGGACATTTCAATTCATATTACTACTCCAGGTCAATGTTTCAATTTTTTTCCCATCATCTATGGCCAGCTTGACCATCGTGACCCCATCTTGTGAAAGTACCACAGTGGTTTCACCTTGCCTTCCGTGGCCAGTCTTTTTATCCTCCAGACTGGAAGAGGTTGATCTATAGACATTTTGGTAGGACTCCTTGGATGAGGGATCGGCCCGTCGCAAGGCCTCTACCTGTACACAGGACAGCACAACACAGAAAAACGCGGACAAACATCCTTGGCTTGAGTGGGATTCGAACCCATGGTCCCAGTCACCAAGCGGCACAAGGCCCGCACCTCAGACCGCACGGCCACTGTGACTCCAATGTTTCAATGCAGGATATAAGCTATAATATATTATGAACTTGTGAAAAATGAATAAGATCCACAGTACGGCAAAGTTGGTAATGCAGCACTGTAAACTTACAGCTGTGCAGTAGAGGAGGTTCACCTCATTCCATGACCTTCAAACACCTAATTTCATGACACATCAGCCTGAATCTGATATTCTGAATCTTTGAGAAGCCTACTGATGCAACAAGTAAAGTTTTCTAATGTAATCCTAGGCAACTGCAATGAGATAATCTGAAGTCTGTATTATAGTTTTGAGTTGGTTCTTGGTTCTGAAAAGAAAAGGGAATAAACCTTGCCTCCTCATGCTCAATCTAAAATAAAAGCAATGGTGTCCCCCTATACATTCTTTATCCCAGCACTAGATGGGAGTGGTTAGCAGCATACCTCAGCCAATTCACTCCTCTAGAAAGGACCCCCAGTACCCAATGGAGAGGAGGTTGACTAGGCCCCAGAGCTGGTTTGGATGCAGAGGCCAGAAGAAAAATCTCAGCCCCATGCCAGGAATTACACCCCGATTGTCCAATCTGCAATCAGTCACTATACTGACTGAGCCACCCCAGCTCCTGTCCACTTACAAGCACCTGTTTTACTGTATCACTTATAATAATGCCTTCCATTCCTGTATGTCAGAAATGCATTCTTTTGACTAATTCTTCATTCTGTTACCTTTAATCCATATTATACTAACAAATTTAATAAATTATCAAATAATGAATTAATGTGAACTCACAGTCAGGTTCTTTTTTCTTTTATAAGATTCCCATGCTTGGGGTTCCAGGATGAGATGCCCTCCTGGTCTTAGCTGTAAGTACATGCGCCGAAATGCTTGCTTCAATCCTGTATCTCCCCAGTTCAGATGCATCCATTTGGTAATACTCAGGCACAATATGACATCAAATTGTGGCTGTTCTGTTGCCAGCAAGGAATCGGATTCCAACACATAATTACCCTGGGGGAAAGAAATTATTTCTGTACAGAATTACCCACAAACATATTCTAAACATAAAATCATATGATTTAATACTAGGCTGAAAGCCCAGTTCCAAAGTGCAAGTAAGGCCCCCTTATTGTGGATAAACATGGTCACCATCACTTTAAGGGGACTCATTAATGATTCGAGTGTGTCTGCCTGTGTGCCCCAAGGAGCATCAATGCCTATCTTAATAATTATTAATTTCCTGTCTTCAACAATATAAACATAGCACATCTGCAAACTTTTTAAGGTGGGAACAATAAATTAGTGCCATTTAATACATATTTATTTCTGTGTAATGATAAATCTTTAAAATGTAGTTTGATAATGATGTTGGTGGAATCACTGCAATGTGATAAGGCAAATTAGTATGGTGGCCTATTATAAAGGGCATCTGCAGTGTGAGTGATATTAAAAATATAAGGTTTGAACACCATGCCAAAGGTAAGTGATTTCAACATTTCTTTTCAATGACCAATGTATGTTAATCTTAATACTGTAATGAGAACTGTGATAAAAATGGGATATTATTATTCACATTTTGGTCATTATAATTAAATGCACAGTGACTATAGGTGATCTTCATGGAATTCCAAGTATGTTCATGCTCCTATTTTAATTTCCTAACATGTTATAATATGCAAAAGACTATGAGATTACCTGTATAAAAGTGACATTGTGTGGAAACTTCTTTGATGCAGAAGGGCTCTGTCCATGACTAATGCCTGGTATATCAACAGGACCATATACAATTGGCATTGAGATGGGAAAGAACTTTAAATCACTTGCTTGTTCTTGTCCACAGCTCCCACCTCCAGGTTCAGGTTCATCATTTGGTGGAGAGTCAGCATAGTTCACATAATGTCTTACATTCTTTCGAGCTATAGCAATAAGTTTTCTATCTATGTCCAAACCAACAACACTTCTTGCTCTAAAATCACGTGCCACTATCAAAGTGACATGACCAATGTTGCACCCAATATCAAGTACATCCTTATCTTGGAACAACTCCTTTCGTTTTTCAAAATATTTCAGACGAATGTCAACTTCATGCTGAGGATTTCGGTAGCCATAATACCTGAAAAGATAAAAAAATAAACTGCAAAACCTTCATCGCATATGAGAAATACTGAATTTACAACCACTGATTTAATAATCCTATTTAAACTGTAAACATGATGGTTTCATATAATATGGGAATATGATTACAAATGCTGAATATGTGAGGATCTGGAAGCAAGCAGTCAAACCCTATTTCAAGATAATATCCCTGCAACTGTCTAAAAAAGACTGAAGAAAACTACAGAGAAATGCTTGGCAGGAGAGCTCGTAATGCTTTTGTGATCCTCATCTGGAAACAGTAACTGTACTTTCATTTATAAAAGATAAAACAATAATTACAAATCTGAAAGCAAATGTGTGATTTGCATGAAACTGATAAGTGTATTTAGATATCAGTCAGATTCAGACTATCAATTAGTTCCCATACCCATTCAGACTGCCTATAATAGGAAACCAGTAACTACATGCAAGGATCCATAGCAAAGAATGGGATTTTCATTGCAACTACATTAACAATACTGAATCACTTACTTCAAATAGTTTCCATACTTGAAATAATCATTCTTCTTTTTGAAATTTGGCATTGGTTGTAGCTTTGGATCTTTTTTATGCTGCCAGTTACCACCTGGTCGAAATCTGTTAAACCTTCCATCAGTTGCTGGACCATCACCTCCCCTAGCTATATTTCCACCACCTCTGTGACCGTATTGTGGTGGCCTCTTCCATGCTCCAGGCTGTGGAATTACAGGACTCACAATCTTATCCTTTAAATCTGGCTTCCATTTTTTCTCAATTTTACTATCTTTACCAGAAGTGGAATCTTCAGGCCCCTTACGACCTTTCTTGTCCTTCTCTTTTATTGATAACTCAAGACTTAGTTCCCTTTTTGCAGGATTTTCTTGTATCCGAACAGGTGCAGCAACAATGTTCTCATTCGAAGAAGTAACCTTTTCTTCCTCCAAATTTTTGACCTTTTCATTGTTCATAATCGACACTGATCCATCCACACTGTCTTCCTTACATGATCCACCAGATGATGAATTGCGTTTTTTCTTTCTGTTCCGTGACTTCCGACCACGTTTAGTAGGAGATACAAGTTGTTGCTCATATTCTGCATCATCTTCACACGATATGAGGTTTAAAGGATCATGCAGATTTGGTGGAATGATCACCTCAATCTCTCCTTTACGATGTCGTGGAGTTGGTAGAGGAGATGACTTTGGCGTAACAGCATTCATTGCCCTGAATTAAGAGACAATATAATTAATCAAGCAGAAAACTATTTTAATAAAGCACCCAAATAGTGTAAAATATGTCAGTCTACATAGTACAATTTTACAAGCTCTTACATTATCCAAAAAAATTAATATTAAACATACCTATTAATTTCTTCATCTTGCAAGCTGTTCAAATTTAATGGATCATAAATGTTTCCTCCAAGAAGAAACTTCGTTGGTGGAATAATTGTTCCTTCCTTCTTCCTCCGTTTATAAGGAGGAAAAAATTTTCCACCTCCCATACAGAAACTTTGGATTCGCTTACGCTTGTAATTTCTCCCATCATTTTCATACTTGTGTTTCTTAGGGAAATATCCTGTAGCACCAGATGCAGATTTTCTCTGCAACCTTTCATTCTCTTTTGATCGTACTGCCTTATCCTTTGAAGCAGTTCGTTCTTCAGAACTATCAACTTTTACAGGTCTTTGCACATGTGCCGAGGACATTTCTGAAAGCAAAACAAAAATATCATTAACAAATTTAAAAGGCATTTCATACAGATACTGAGTCCAAGATCTCCAAATGGATTTATGTGTGTATTGTACAAAATAGGTCTGTTCTGCCATATATTTTGCAAACCCAATATAAGGTGGGATGAGAATATAAGGTTGTTCAAATATTCCAAAATGTTCGAATATTGTAACATAAACACAGTATAAAAAATTATACATTGGCCAAAAATATATGTTCCCTTTCTACTAATTTACATTTTACTAAAAATCAAAAACCATTCTTTGTGAAAATAACATATTTATTACATTGTAAGTGTCCACGTGAGTTTGTATACATGCCCTCGTCTTTTGATTAGCGCATGCGTAGTGGAACGTCTCCCTGCATCTTCAATACACCTAAAAAATTTCGATTTATAGCAGCTAAATAAATACATTTAATTGCATTCCTGAAGCTTGAACTTACCTTTAATGTAAAACTAACAATGATTTCAGAATCTTTGTACAAGTTCTTTCCTTTCTAAGCAGGATATCCTTGCAAAAAAGACTAAATTCAAACACTGCAGTTCCGTTCCTTGTCGAGGCACCTACCACCATCGACGATGGCGATACGTTTCTTCTCATCCCTACGCCCCTCCATTTCGCACAATTCCGGTTGGGTTAAACGGAAAACCCGAAACTGCTGAAAGTAGTATTGCATTTTCTTCCTGTCCAGTTCCAGATATACAAAATACTACTGCCTGATATTAGTCTTTTTTAAAGTGAATTTTAATATAAACATGCTTTATCTGTATTAAGCAGATATCTCACTATTTTGGTATGCCATATTTAATACTGACTTAAACACCCGCCATTGTATTCCGTTTCAAATTGTAACACAAAACTGATAATTTTCGCTACCACATTACGAGAGTATGAAATAGCGTAATATTTGCCATTCTTAACATTTTGGATTTTATTTTTAATATTACTAGGCATAAAAAAATTATATCTGCCGTCTTACTACACTGTTTTTATATTTCGCTAAATTAAGGTCGAATATGTTGTTTCGATTGTTGTAGAAACTCGGCAACAAAGACGTCTCTTGTATCAAGAACGCTGTAAATTGTGTTCTTGTATTTTGTCATATAACGTATTCAAGCAGTTTCAGTTTGGTACAACTAACATTTTGAAGAAATGTCACTTCAGAAAAGTAATAAGAAAACTTTCAAGTCTCCATTTAATAATTCACTAAAGCATGGTGCAAGTGTTCCAGAAAGAACGATTTCATTTCAAGAACATGAAGCCAGGACACAATGCCAGGTTATGGTAAGGCTCTTTTATTCTTTGCCCTTAATTCATCCCAAAATTCCAGTTAGCTGGCAATCGGGGGCCAGCTAGCCGCTAAAGACAATAAAATACTAATTACCGGAGACATCGGAAACAGCACAAAATATGCAACGATGACATTCAGATTTACTAAAAATTCTTGCACAAAGCACACATCTTACATAACATAGCTCACGACTTTAGCATGCAAGTTTCTACTGTGAAGACTAAACGGCTTTTCAAGGCAAAGACCAAATTCTGAGCAAGATTTGTATCTGTAACAAATTATTGAACACGATAACGATTTTAAGTACCTCGACAGCTTTCTATATCACATACAAAACTTAATAAGACTTCCTGAAAAAATCTAAATATGAACACTTTTATGGGAGTAATAACCAAAGTGTTTAAATACAGTTTATCTCAGAAACATACAAAAATTAATTTAGTTCGCAAACGAGATAAAAGCAGAATTACAGTAGTATAAATGGAATTTGTAAGAAGAGTAGGCTATACTCCTTACGGATTATATAACGAATTTGTTTATAATGAAGGAATTAAATGCAGAACCAATAAAGTCCTTCATAAAAAAAATTATATGGAATTTCTGTGTAATTATTAGAGCTAAATATTTCAAACATTGATGTTTTTAGTGCCAGTTCGAATCCTTGTGCAAGGCGTTATCAAATATATTGTTCGCTCTAATTATTCAACGTAAAAAACAATCTATCCAAGACTAGGTATTCCTTGTTCGGCCTACTTGCGTCAAGCGTCACAAGCACCTGAACCAATATTATGTTTATCACCTGTACAATAGTCCATAGTTATACACGTAACAGATTGATACATACCAAAATTAAATTCACCCAAATTTCAGTTTAGAATTCCTGCATTAAATTTCAGCGAAATCAGTCTAGCTGTTCGGGAAATTAATCATTCTTGACCGACTTATGTTCCACTGAACACATTTCTTGTATCATCATAATCAGCCTTCTAGGTGTTGGGTCTAATGGCCTGTTACGTTCTTATCCCAGCACTTGTAGGCTGGCCCAAAGATCTTGGTACATGTTAATGGGGAATTTTGAATCGGAATAAAATGCAGAACAAATACTGAAATTTAAAAAAAATATATTTTCTAAGGAATTCTATGTAATTATTAGAACTAAATGGAGGGACCATTTATTCAAATTCCCCATTCAAGAAATCATACAATAATTATCCCATAATAAAAAATAAAAATTACATAATGTCATGTCTTTCTCTACCTCTCAAAGAGATGGCAAACACTTTATCACAACTCTGCTGGATCACTATTATCTGAATAGGCAAGAGGTCTAATCCTACTAAACATAAATATTTGTCTGTCAAACACATAATTTATATTTAATTTCAGATTATCATGTAAATAATTTGATTATACTGGCATACGTTTCTGAATGCATACAATGTCGGATTCTCAAAAACAGAAAGAGCATTAAACTCCAAGTTGCCCGATAACTTTCACTATATATATATATATATATATATATATACATGATCTTTATTTATGAGATGTAGACATTCTGCGTTGCATAAATTGTGTTTTATGCATTTTAACAGGCAAAAGATCCTCCTCTGATAGGAAAAAAGAAGCCAAACATCAAGAAGAATGAAACAAATGATTCCATAACACTCAAAAAGAATTTTAAGAAGGATGAAAACAAAGGAGAAACAAAGGTAAACAATTCTGGCCTTTGAATGACAACAACCGAGAACAATTTCAGTATTTCTCAACCCCTTCCTTATGTAATTCTTTCATAAAGAGAATGCATATGGGGAGGCTGTGTCCATCAATCCATCCATATGTTATGATTTTGAAACTACTACAGGGATTTCAATTATGGATCTAAATTAAAATTCATCTGGTAAATTTAAATTTGGTCTTATCAGTTCAGGATAACCCATTTACGTAAATCTCAAATCAAACTTTATTGAAAAAGTTTATTACATTGTAAAGTCTGAAGGGAAGACACTGCTCAGAGGGCAAAGATGGAGGATAATAGAAGAATGGATCTTAGGTAAATAGAGTGGAAGGGTGTGGATTGGATTCATGTAGCTTAGAATAGGAACTAGTGTCAGACTGTTGTGGACGGTAATGAACCTTCAGGTTCCATAAAAGGTGGGGAATTTCTTGACTAGCTGAACATATATCTGCGTCTGAAAAGAGACGGCGTACCTGCTTTTCCTATAACTTGTGATCAAGGATGCATAGATCATATAAATCAAGTGAGATCTACAGACAATTTCATGTAACTTGCTTCATGTGAAAAACAACCACAAAAATTTCTGTTAAATACTATTACCCTGATAATAAAATAACAAATCCTTACTGGTGTTTGTCTAATACTTTTTACAGGCACTCTCCATGACATCTCTTACTGACACTGAATATAATGAAATCTTTTCATCAGCTATTAACAGAGCCTTAACAGGAGGCATTCCTTCTCCAACCATGAAAAATAACACAGGAAATAGTGATGATGAGGATGAAATTGAGGTAAAACTGTATTTCATATTGCATACTAATTATAAAATATATTTTTTAAATTCTGATCTGTACCATTGTATTCTCAATAATTCAGTTATTAATTACCACTAGTACAATAGTTAAGTTTGAAACAAGTAGAGCAAATATAGGAACATAGAAGAATTAATGATGTTTGACCTTGTTATAGTGGCCATAATTAATAAATTAATTACAAATGATAATCTCTTTTCAATTAATGATTGTTAATGTAAAAGAACATGCAGGACTATTTCAGGAGTTGCACTATGGTTGTGAACCACACTGACTTTTGATACATGCATGGTATTTGAAGGGTTTGTTGTGTTCCTGTCTTCAGGTAATTGACAGATAATTTTTACAGTGAATTTTTATTTGTGGGATTATGACAGAGGTTATGATTTAACTAAGGAGCCAATCCTGAATTTATCTGGCACACAATTTGATTGTATGTTTTCATTGGCAATTAACAGAACCTTGAAAATAGTTATACCTTCTCTACTCCTGGGAAATAGCAATGATGAAGTTTAAACTGATGTAAAACTGCATTACCACAAACTAATTTAAGTCTGATAGAAGGCTATCTGATAGTATAATGGCAGCAAACCACCTAATGATAGTACTAGAGCAAACTTATAAAGACCACTGCACGTCAAAAGCACCTCAGACACTGAACACTGTCCATTACACTGTAACTGTGGTGTAATATCAGCCATTGGCTCAAAGCTTGATGAAATCACTTTTTAGGATTGTAGTAGTTTTACTGATATGAATAGAACACATTTCATTATCCAGTTTTAATTAAAATATTTCCTTGATTTTAAGATGCTATTGACTGTAAGATGCACCTTTGATTTAATGATAGGTTTTATTTGGAGGGGGAGATATATATATATATATATATATGACAGTAGGAATTGTCATTATTCAAAAATAAAATGTATTTGTATTAATACTTTCAGAATCTTCTTTGTTGCTATCTTTGTGTTTACTCTTCCATGACTAGTGTTATGGACATGAAGATTTTCCTTGCACTTTATAATTTTTAACATCAGTTCTTAGATGCCACCAAATGTAAGCTGCACTCTGATTTCATAAATTTTAAAATGTGAAAATGTATGTTTTTTTTTAAAAACGAGGATATACAGTATATAAAAAACGTAGCAGCACTTTACATGTGAGAATAAAGTAAAGGGGAACAGGAAGGTGATGACTTACCTAACTGTGCATAAAATTTGCTTCTCATCCAACTTTCTCTGTTCTTGTAATAACATTGTCACACAGAATAGAGCAGCTGTTCCTGAACCAAATGAAGCACAGTCACCTCAAGAAGTTGCTGAAAGACCAATGAAATATTTTAGAACAGAAGTTCAAGAAAAGGAAGCTTTTGCAAGAGAAGGAAAAGCAGCACAACCTATTAAATCCAATACCTATGTGTGTGAAATTACACCTACAAAAGATTCATTTCAGTCCAAGAAAACAAATTTTGAAGATACACAAGGAGTAACTAAGAAGAAGAAAGGTATTATTTCAACAAAACTTAATTATATTTTAGTAAATGTAAAAATGTAAATCAATACTTAATATCCCCTTTGTGCCTCTTCTATTTCTAGATGGCAATCATGTGACTAATTTTAATAAAGAATATCTGGCACAGTAATGATTGAAGTCTTTTAAATCTTGGGGAATAAAGAGGATAGTGCAAATATTGCAGTAGAAGAAATTAACAAACAATGAATAATTTACTACTGGTCTGTTATTTCTTAGTAGTGTTATTAATATCATGTCCTTACCACTCTCCAAACAAATTATTTAATGTGATACTTTTTCACCTCTCAGTTTATATTTCTCAATATGGTGGAAATAAATTAAAATCTGAAAATTATCTTCTTCAACAGAAGCTACATTGAGTCTTGCAAAGAAATCTATAAACATTTTCAGTTTTAGTCATGCAATATCTGTATACATAAACATCTTACAAGGAAAGTGTCTTTTTTGTATGATTATATGTATAAATGTCTGTTTGTCTGTCTACTTGGTTATTAATTTCATCGTTCAGCAGCATTGGATTTTAATTTAATACTGTGAGTCATAAATACATGTAAAGGTATAAAAATTTCCAATACTTTGAGAGCAATTTTAGTTTCAGTTTAATTTTTGACACTAATATGTACAGATTGTAGTTTCCAGATGTTATTACTACTTATTAATTAAATTTTAAAAATATATTTTCCATTCTCCTTTCAGCTAAGAAACTAAACCTATCATTCCTGTCAGTCCTTCCCAAGAATCTGGTACAAGGCCAGATGGATGAAAGTAATCAAGAACACTACAGAAAACATACAAATACAGATCAGAATCACAAGACTGCCTGTGAAGATACTGAGAGTGTTCCTAAGGTGAAGAAAATGCAAGTGAACCAGGTTCCAAAACCTCAAGATAATTTCTCCTTGCAGAAGTCAACTCTTAAAAAACACAAAGTTACTGGCATGAAAGACTCATCCCAGTTAAGTCAGCCCATTTCATTACAGAATCAAAGTGACAGCCACTCAAAACACAGTACCCTGTGTAGTCATCATTCTCAAGAGTGTGGCCATGTTTATAAAAGGAAACATACCCATGATTGTGGTAACTTTACACAACAAAGTAATATGCATCAGGATTCCATTATTCCAAAGTCTTGTTCTCAGACTCAATGTTCTCAGGCTATTCTGAGTCAGCCAGGACCAGAGCTGTCACTGAGAGAAAGATTGTTATGGCTTCAGAAACGGCGTAATGTGGGATTATGGGTACAGTGTTCCCGTCCAATTTGTAAAAAATGGCGATTCTTACAAGACATTCGTGATCCTGTTGATGTCCCTCAAGAATGGTTCTGTCACATGAATTCAGGTAATTTTGTACAATATTTACCATCACAGTAGATTAAGGGTAGATATTTGATTCCAAGAATACATGTATTCTATCTGCTAGTCTTTATGTAAAGGATACCAGAAGCTCATTCCCCAGTAAAGTGGCTGAGAATCAAGCTCTAGAATGTATGATGTCCTACTGCTTAATGAGGTATGAATTATGGTTTAGTCGCATATAGTAAACTTCACAAATATTCTTGAAATTTTAGTGATATACTTTTAGGACTACAATTTTAAATTATTGTTTCCTATTAAGCATCAAAGATCTTGTCAAGAAAAGTGACTAAACTTAAATAAGAGCATGTGTTTATATATGTACTTAACACTGTTTGCATTGTACATAACCCATCAAAAAGTGTCTTCTCCTCTTCCCATGTGGTTCCTTAACCAGATTCTCATTCATATGTAAAAATAAGATACATTTCATTAAATTTTGATAATATATATTACGCCAGACATTGTATTAGTTCCTATTACTCTTGGACATCAGTAGCACATAGAACATGGGAAATCAGTGAAACGCTATTGTTCATGGGCACGAATTTCACAGATCAACTGTCCAGTTTTTCCAGTTTATTTTTTGACTCTTAATTGTGTCACCGAGGGTAGAAAGTAAACACTTAGTTCTTGTTAGGAAAGCAAAACCAGTTTTTCTCTTATAAGACAAGTCATTCCATTTCTGTTTGCATTATTTTTCTGTTCCTTTTAGTAGTTAGTAGAACTTACAGGAAAGGAATTGAAATTAAATGACTATATATGTTAATTATTCTCATATTAATTTTTTTCATATAAATGTTCTTTGAACTACTTCAGACAAGAAGTACAATAGCTGTGCTGTTCCTGAGAAGCCCCCAGCACCATTAGAAGAAGAAGATTTAATTCACAATATCTACACAGCTGGCTCAATTGTATGGGGACGCCTTGCTGGTTTCCCCTGGTGGCCAGCAATGGTCGATGATGACCCTGACGTTGAGCAATACTATTGGCTCAACAGCTTCTCAGATATTCCTGTGAGTATTATTGTGTATGAAGTCCTTTTATGAACATTCAATTAATAAACTTTTGTATTAACACATTTTAAAAATGAATTTCATTCTTTTCATATGCATAATGAATGTCTGCTATAATAAAAACACACCAGATCATGTGTATGTTGGCTAAAAATCACTAGTTCAATCATCTCTCAATGTATCCATTTCTCAGAAAATATTTTATGATAATCCTCTGTATTTCTCTAAATGGTATGTCATAATATTTTATCTTCATGAAGTATAAACATACACTGGTTTTGTATACACTTTGTACTTATTTTTATGACTATTTAGATCATCTTTATGTTTTCAGACACATTACAATGTTGTGTTCTTTGATGAAAAAGATGTGACTCGTGCTTGGCTCACACCTGGTTCAATGAGACCTTTTACAGGTCATGAAAACTCTAAGGAATTAAGGAAAGTAAGTTTCCCACTCCCATATAAATTATTATATTATTTACTCCACTGTTAGTGAAAAGTCCATCAGTCAGTTCCATGTTAACCATAATAATTCACCTTGCTCCCATAATATGGGCATCATATCCCAGAGCATATAAATATATTTATTTTGTATTAAATTAAATGTTTGTTTGTAACTTTTTGCTTTTGAGTTCCTTTAAAAATAATCTAGTATATTTAAATATTTCTGGATTACTCAGTCTATATGTAATCTTACAACATTTCACCATCCACTGTATTAAAATACCAAATACAAATGCATAGGTGATAATGATGGTTGTTCACATTACCTGTGCTAATGTAAGGTTTGCCATCATGAATTCCTTTTTGCTCCACAATACAATGTTGTTACACTGGTTTTTCTCCTCTTTTTGTATGTTGCTATTTGCACCAGTTCTTTACTACTTAGTCTTTGATTGTTTCTGACAGACCACTGCACAAGGGAGAGATTATTCTAAAAGACTCCAAGTTTCCAAACTGCAAGCACAGAAAGCCCTGCCTATGGATGTTGGTGAACGACTTAGGATTTTTGGTTTCCTTGCTCGCTACAAGGGACCTATTGGATCAATCAAAAAGAAGAAACAGCAAGGTGGAAGGAAACCTGGTAAGTTCTTATAATTACTATAATCCTGTATTAATTTTAATTTTATAAAGGTGTTTTGAGTATAGCAAATTAAGTAGTATGGCAATGGATTTAGCTCAAATTCCTTTCTTTGGTTTCATATTCCTACAAAAAAACAATAATTCACGAACAGATTAAAACAAGGAATGGCAGATGTATGTTTTCACTGATAGTCTCAAAGAAGGCTGTAACAGTGAAATTTTCATGCAAAAGTTAAGGTTTATGTTAAACTATTTTTAATTGTTTTTATGTTTCTTCAGTTGAATATGAAGAAACATTTCCTCAGAAAAGTGATGAAGATGAAGCACTGGTTATTCACAGAGACTTGAAAGAAGGTAACTTTTATCATGCATCTTCTAATAGGTATCTTTAGATAAAAATATAAAGCCTAATGAAGAAAACATAAAGCCATAGTGAAGTGTGTACATAAACAATGTGTGTGTGATAGGTTGTCATTTTCAGTGACAGTGATGGTTTCTGAGAGAAGGGACTCTCTAAAGTAGGTTCCTGAACCATACACTGCTTTCTGTAATATAACATTTTATACACTACCAAAACTTCAAGTTGTGTGTTTGCATTATTGTCATATGGTTCAGTGGGCTGGAGAAACTCAGTTTTCTTCCCTTCCTTTGCTATGTAACTGTAGACTGTGTTATATTGAACTCCTTTCTAAAGTCAGTATCCATATTTTGGGATCAAAAATGGATCTGTGTAAATGCAAGTTCCATGTTATAGTACAGCATGTAACATGACAGTAAATTTTAATTTCTTGCCACGAATTTTAATTACATGCTACTTTGTGTTATTGCAGAAAAGAATAAACAAAAGCCTAAAAGGAAGAGATCAAAAAAATACAATATTTTAGAGCCTGCTGTAAAGAAAACAAAGGTGCAGGCAGCTGATAATGAAGAAAAGAAGGGAACATCTGAAGCCATAAATAAAATTTCTAAAACTAACAGCAATGACGTTCAAGAAAACAATGCTTCAAAGAGACCAAATCAGACTATCTTCAGTAGTTCATTGTATACTCAGGAACTAAGCAACAGAGAGACAGAGAATTCAAAAGACAAACACTATACTGACACAAAGACACTCAAATTTGATTCAAACTCTGAAGAAAGTCTGAAAGAAAGTGCAAAACAAGCAGAAGCTGCTTCATCAAGAACAAAATCTGTAAACTTGTTTTTATCAAAACGTAAGCAGCCTAGTACTAGTACAAGTAATGAAGGGAAGAAGGCAACAGATGAAGTGCAAATGCTCTCAGATGACGAGAGTGAGACACCTTTCAGTGTTGCATCTAAGCAAGGTGAAGATATAATGAATTTCTCACAGGATTTGTTTTTATCTCAGAATGTAACTACTGAACAAAATACATTACAGAAAAAGAATGCAGACACCAATAATGGTACTACGACTGTTATAGGATCAACACAGTTAGTTCTGCAGCCTGACACAAACAACCAAAGCACAACAAATAGTGCTCCTATAGGCTCACGTCTGAAATGTTCAGACAGTGTACCGCTTGTCCCTAACATCCAGTTCAATACAGTCCATACAGAAACAAATTGCTTAGATCATCAGAATGGTGATGCAGTTGTACCACAACTAAGTTCTGAAGATTATGAGTCAGTTGGTTTTGAGCCAGAGGAGTAATTTTGCACCTTTAAGGGAGTCTGAGATTTTAAGTTGCCATATTGACAGCTCCTGTGGAAATTCTCATAATATGAGATTATATTTTATTTGTACTTCAGGATAGTGTATTTTGTAACTCCTTGAATTAAATCAGTCTTATTAGGACTAAGTTAGTATTCAGTAAAGTATTCAAAGATTATTCTTAACCTAGCAGTTTTAGTTTACAAAAGTAATTTCTGGCCATGGCATAGCCATCTGATGAAATTGCCATATACCACAGGCTTTATAAGTGCATTTCTTATTTGTGTTACAATGTAAGTGTTCAATGTGAAATAATGATTACAATTATTCACTAATTTTTCAGTAATAACTTAAATACAAAGTTTTGTTTGTTTAACAATATGTGTTGTAGATTTCAAGCTGAATATGAAGCCATGAGTTAAGTCATTTTCCTGTTTTTGTTATCAAAGGACACTATAACAATTATAAAATATATGTTTTATATTTACAGATTAATATCAGTTAATGTTTGCAATGTTGTTTTTCAAAAGTTGTATTTTCTTTAATGAACTGGTGTGTATGAAATTGTCATCATATTCAGTACAAAACATTCAATACATGTTTTAAAATAATCTTTCAATATACATTTAAATACAAAGTTTTGTTAATTTAACAATAAATTCTATATATTTCAAGCAGAATATGAAGGAATGTGTTGGTCCTACACTGTTGTTATAATCAAAGGACCCTATATCAATTACAAAAAATGTATTTATATATTTACAGATTAATATCTTTTCATGTCTGCAGTGTTGTTTTGCAGAAGTTGTATGTTCTTCAATTAACCAGTTCATATAAAAGTGTCATATCTCATCTCATATTGTTTCTAAATATATCCAAATAACATTATGAGTATGGATTGTATGCAGTTATTAATTTGTAATAAAGAAATTAGTGTTTCTGTAACACTGTGGAATTTTAATATCCCTTCTGGAATTAATTATCCTGCATGATATTTTCAGCGATCTCTCTCAAGTGCTCCAAGTGAACATTGATGGTATATCTAGCAGAAAAGCAAGAAATAATTCTGGAGAAATGTTTTTGTAATGCGCATGCCTTTTGGCAGCACCAAATTTCATCTTCTTATCACAAATTGAAGTTGAAACATTTTGTCTGCTGAGGAACCAACTTTTCAAAACCTAAGAAATTACATAAATTGAATGTGTTTAAAGTGCCTAATATCACACAACTTAAGCAATACAAATAATACACATACGATCCAACTACTTCAGAAACATGAAAGACAAAGAAACTAAGCAATAATAATTTTAATGGAAATGGGTTCATATATATATCTTTCTTTAAGAATGTAATACTTTTGAAATCATCCTTTTAACTTAATGTGTAATACTGCCAAGCTAATATTTACATGGTTTTAGCTGTGATCGATAAGAAATTCATCACATGCTAATATTTCCACTTGAGTTGCTATGTTTAAAGCTGGCGAAGTGTTCACGCGGTCTGAGGCACGGTCCTCGTGTGCCTGGCCGCTTCGACCGTGGGTTCGAGTCCCACTAAATGCATGGATGTTTGTCTGCATCTCCTCTTCCAGTCTGGTGGGTAAAGACTGGCCACGGAAGGCAAGGCGAAACCACGGCGGTACTTTCGCAAGAAAACCCCGAAAGGGGTCACGACGGTTAAGCTGGCCATAGATGATGAATGAATGAATGATGCTATGTTTAAACTGCAATTAGTCATGCTTTATATACTGTTTCTGGCTTGCAGCTTTCACAGTCATCAACTCCAAGCTTACAAATGTCATGACACAGAATTGCAATCCCCCAATTTCAGAGTCATTGGACATGTAGTGTGAATTTTCAAACATCCCTTGTGGAAAGAGGACAACCCCCAGCACTCCCAACACATTTTCATTTTGGTCGATATAACAATTCTGTTTCAGGTCTAGCTAACCAAGAGCATGCACAGAATGTTGCTTCTAAATGTAATCTATGTCGCATATTTGTTGGCTCTCTGCAATGTTACTGGTGATCACGTGGTTATGGGAGGAGAATTACAAATCTGGATTTGGATTTCTATAACAATTTTTCAAGTTTGTATGGTTGAAGAAGACTTGCGTGTGGAAGTGGGGAAATATAGCAGATATCAGAACATTGAATTGTTTTGTTTCTGAAGTTATTAACACATTGTTTGGAGTCCGGTCACACTAATTATATAAAATTGGGCTGTTCGCTTTAGTATTTAATTCAGTAAAATACAAATTGTTTTAAACATTGAAATCCGGCCATTCTTTATCATAAGCTGTCTAACATTTCAGAGCATTTATAAACCATTATAAACATCTGTAACTTAAGATAATCACTAATACTCAGAGGGATAGCTCATTATTATTCCTTCTGACTAGTGTTCAGCAGATACTTGGTTCAGATCCTGGATGGGTGCCAACTCTTACAGCTAAAGTTTTTGTATTTTTCCTCAGTCCATCAGAAAAGAGCCAAGAAAAGTCAGTAGGTTATGACTACCTTTTCCCATATATTTTATACCTCACACTTCATAATCATTCACTTTTTATAGAGCTCCTTACCTTCTGCATCTGTTACGGTAACAAAACAATATATGAAGTAAATAGTAGAAATGATTGAAAGATAACTTTTACAGAGAGAGCACAGGTTTTAAAGCAGCAAATGTAAACAGCCAAAAATTGTTTTCTATTTTTAGATGAATATTAAAACGTTCTATATTCTGTTAACACAGGTGGAAATTTAGTTTGAGCAGTTTGAGTAGCTTTAGAACAGGTCTAATGGGCTTAAACCTTGCAAGGTAGAAAAACAAGAAAAGATTCCCTTATGATATTGCTATCTCTTATGACAAGAATTCTGTTTGTCCTATTCTGTCCTATTCACGCTACACCCCTTTAAACTCTAAGTCATACAACCCGCTCATATCATGTGTACGACAAATTGACTAACATGGACGGCGCCGTGCCAACGAACATGTTTCGAGCTGTGTATAACAGGTAGCGCTAATGTTAATCCTTGCTTGTAGAATATCGGTATTTATCTATGGTAGTATACATACTTCGCGTAGCAATTGTACTTTTTCGGTTTTTAAGAGAGGAGGGCTGTTTTAAACCAAAAGGAGTCCAAATTAAAACTCCCATCAATCTGTCTGTACGCACGAAATATTGTCTTCACGATTCTTTCGCTATTAAAAGAAATATATTCCTCAGTAGAACATCATGTAGGCCTGAGTTTACCGTGAGCATACTAATAGGTCATTGTCGTAGCGGATTTTTTGTTCTTGTTGCTGTTTTCCCGAATTATTAGACTCGTTCCGATTTTGATGATGTAAATAAGAATAATCAAATTCGCTCTGTTTTGCATCCAATAATTCAACTCTTGTAATACTATTAGATCTGTTAAATAATCAATTTTCAGAAGCCTTTTAATATCATCCAGGGGAAAAATAATTTTGGAAGCTGTTGGCAGGTAAAGAGGTAAGGTTTGTCGCTGATGCTTATTACGCAACACGTCATGAAGACACGGGCAGTGGAGGACCTCGACACTGGACGAAGGTGAATGGTCAGCTTCATGCCCCCGATCGTTTCCCCTGGGAAATTGTCACCGGTACCCATTTGATAGAGGGCCCTAGAACTGGTTTGGATGCAGCGTGTAGAAGGAAAAATAAAAAATAAAATCATTTATGTGGTACTAAAATCGAAAAGATTCAAAATACCTCGCTCTGAACATCGCAATTAAAATGTATGCGAAATATTTTGTTAGAAATTTACCGTCGTAATATGATGGAAATAAAAGTAACTGAACTGATTTTCCAACTAGAATTGTTCCAGAAATGTAAGACAAATTGCTATCATAGAAGAGTTATTTAATTTATTTTTCTGGCTGTAGTAAGACAGCAAGAATTTCTAAACCCGTTTTAATTAAGCCGTTGACCGGTGGTTGCACGCGTTGACACACTCAGATTGCAGGTCTTCAGTCCGATAATCGAAATTTCGTAAACGTTATGCCCAAATGATTTTCATGTTATCGAAGAGATAGAATCTATAAAATTGCTTCGAAGTGTTCTAACGACACAACGTATTTCTAAACGTGGGTTACAAGTTACTTTTTTTGGACAAAATTCTTTGACACTACCAAAGTTTGCAACTATTAAGCAAAGCATTTGGAAATGTAGCTTCAAGTCCCGAAGGCTCGGCATGGGAGAGAAAGGAAACGCTAATCAACGTGTAATGTAATTGGATGTGACGTGAAATCTTGAATGGGAGTGGCTGCCCGTCAGAGACAGCTTGTGTAGTCATACACGACAACTTCTCCTCAGGACTGGATGGAGCGGTTCTCAGCCTCTTACTGTTGTCTCATACATGTGTTTAGTAAGACGTCTCAAGAATAGTTTGTGGCGCCTACTTTTTCTGAATCTCTAGATCTATTGCGAGGTTAGGAAGAACTGGAAATTAACTCTTTACTGTTACTGTTATTTCCTACAACTACAGTTTCTGATACTACACTGCGTTCCAGCAAACTATAATACTCGTGCATCTACTAATAGCATAACACAGAGTCCAGCTTCGTGGCATGA